TGACCTCAGCGATCTCCAACGGAAACTGTTTGAAGATTTCACCCAGAAAGAACAGAAAGATATTGCCAATAAGGTGGGCAGCAGTGATAAGGAAGCTAAGGAACACATCTTCCAAGCATTGCAGTACATGAGACGGCTTTGCAACTCCCCAGCGCTGGTGATGAAAGAGGGACATAAACAATACCACCAAGTCCAGAAGCTTCTCGCCTCGAAGAACTCAAACATTCGAGATATTGCCCATGCCCCAAAACTTAGCGCACTCCGCGATTTGCTTATTGACTGTGGTATTGGTGTTGATCCTTCAGCTGAAGGAGAACTAGCCACCGGTGCAAGCTACGTCAGCCCGCATCGTGCCTTGATCTTCTGTCAAATGAAGGAGATGCTTGATATTGTGCAAAACGATGTCCTTAGAAAGCTGCTACCCTCCGTCCAATTCCTTCGTCTTGACGGAAGCGTAGAAGCAACCAAGCGGCAGAATATCGTCAATCAGTTCAATACGGATCCCAGTTATGATGTTCTTCTCCTTACTACGAGTGTTGGAGGTCTCGGACTAAACTTGACCGGTGCCGATACCGTCATTTTTGTTGAACATGATTGGAATCCCCAAAAGGATATCCAGGCCATGGACCGTGCCCACAGAATTGGTCAAAAGAAGGTCGTTAATGTCTATCGGTTGATTACCCGTGGCACTCTTGAAGAAAAGATTCTAAAGTACGTTATAAATTTTTATCTATACTGGTTTTTGTGTTCTGATTGCTAATTATACAATAGTCTGCAACGCTTCAAGATTGACGTGGCTTCGACTGTCGTCAATCAACAAAACGCGGGACTAAGCACCATGGATACTGACCAACTTCTTGATCTCTTCAACCTAGGTGAAACCGCCGACTCGGCTGAAAAACCAACCCAGGATGGAGCCGGCAATGAAATTGACATGGTCGACATTGATGGCGAAGTCAAAGAAAAGGGGAAGAAGGGCTGGCTCGATGATCTAGGTGAGCTATGGGATGACCGCCAATACGAGGGAGAATACAACCTCGACTCTTTCCTGGCGTCTATGAAACGTTAAACCGCAAAAGCGCCGCGCCATACTTTCTCAGCAGAAACGCTGCATCTATTCCAATTTACACGAGACGATAACCCGAGACCCATGACTCCCATTTTTCAATCTGTTTTGGACGCATTTTCTTCTATTTCCTTTTTTTTATTTTATTTTCTGAACTTTCTCCTCTGCTCCTTTCTATTTCCTGCTCAACCTGATTTAACATTTTTTCTGGGTATACGGCAATCATGCCTTTAAAATAAATACCCCTGATACCTCTGCCTACATCATTATACGGCGTCTGGTCAAGAATAAGGGCAAGAAAAAAAGGTGTTAGTAGGATATTTCTATTGTAATAGCCCACCTCTTCTCTTCTTTACTTTTATAAAGATTCCTTGTACAAGTATGATGTTATGTTGAATAGGGCTAATGAGGGTGAGGGTGCGCGTCTGGTTTTTCACGGCCTTTCTTTGCTACATTATTTGATTGGAATTAAGTACAATAGACATGAAGGCACAGAATTCATAATAAAGTATACTACGAACTGTTATTATTCACTTATTTGGAATCTTTATTTCCCTTTCCCTATGGTTTTTATGGCATTTAGCTAAAGCTCCCTCTGAAGATAGATGGCCAGGTAATACAAACATGTAGAAAATAATCCTATAAAACTCCTCCCACCCCCATTTCCTAAAACACAACCAAATCCAGAAAGAAAGATAGAAAAAGAAGAAAGAAACCAGGACTGTGTCCATAAAAACTCCAACACCTTACCAGTACACATCTTGATTCAGAGCTAATGGGGAAAGATTGCGAGGATATTTTCGCCAATGTAACATAATGGATGGCACACTGGACTTAAGAAAAATTGGCCTTAGGGGACGGGAAGGGTTTTAATTCCCCTTGCTGGTTCAATGTCGGATTTTGGGAGTTGCAAGGAAGTTCAGCCGACTAAGAGTGAGTCCTTTACCTTTCTGAACTTTGCTGACAGGAGTACCACGCTTTGGGGTCACAGTGGCAGGTAAACGTCTCTTGACTGGACTAGGCGTTTGCATAGCTGGAGGTGTTGTAGGATTTTGTTTAAGACGCTTGATGAATCGGTCATCGCGCGGGGTATGAGGCTCTTCATCCGTATCATCACGACGCCGTTTCTTGTTTGTAATCCCGTGTGGGATAGGAGGGCGCTCCAGACCTGGTTGAAACTCGCCTGTCCTCAGAGGGGAGCCGTTTTCTTGAGCAGTAGGTGACGGGAGTTTAAAGGTGAAGCCAGGAACTCTCCTTTCGTGCGGCGGAGTGGTTGGTGGAAGAGTCGGGTAGAGAACATCCCGAGGGCCACTACCTTGTGATTTTGAAGCAACAGCCGAGGGAGATGAATCATTGCAAGCATCCCGAAGTTTTGTGCTGGCCGAGAAATCCACGGTCTTCTTTGACGACGGGATACTTATTGAGGATTTAAAGCTATCGGATAAGCCAAGTAGCTTTGTGTCAAAGTCCGCTCGTGGTAAAGGCTGGTGGGTACCAGCAGCAATCTTCTCAGGGTCATTGGAAAAGAGGGGTTGTGGCCGACGGAGGATGGATTTCAGCTGGGGCATATTAGACTTGTACTTAATATCTGTCTGTGGGGTTTTGGGGGCCGAAAACAAGGATCTGCGCGCCGGTGAACGTGATATAGATTGGGCCTTCACAGTATGGGGGTATTTAATGCTTGTAGCAGGGGCAATTGTGGGCTTCTGCGGTGTAGTGAACTTGGATTTTTCCAAGGGAACTGGATTTGAAGGCGGCTTGTTCTGAACCTGTGAACTCTCACCAGACAAGGGAGTCCGGGTAGATTGGCTAGCACTTGCTTGACCCCCTCGCCGCGGGATAGAGGGGCGTGTAGCGGCCGCTCTAGAAGCCGGCGTGATTCGAGTTTTAGTTGGGACGTCCTTTTCAGGGTCACCAAGTTGAGCCTTTGAGATTGTGCGTTTAAGGGCCTTGGCCGGAGACGTTTTATTGGGTTCAACACGAGCTCTAAAAGCAGACGGGTGGCCCTCGATGGAGTCCATCTTTCGGAACTGGGCCATATGAGCTGAGCTGAAACGTCCTGCAATACCCTTGGGCTTCGCAATTTTCCGGGACGTTGGCTGAGCTTCAGCCTCCACGTCCTTACCCTTTTGCGCGTTTTTTTCCATCACCATTTGGGACTTAATCCTTGCAGCTTCCTCTCGAAGGCTTTCCATCAATTTCTTTGCCTCCTGGCTAAGTTGGGATTCTCCACAAGAAAATTTGAAATCGAAACTCATCTTGCTGAGCTCATCGACATTTGAAATCCTTCCCTTAGATGGTGTGTTTATTATAGAAGGCACCGACTGATTTGGACCTTTTGAATTATCATGGATGGGCCGGAACCCCAGCTGGAGCCCTGAATCCGGCTGCTTGGTAGTGCTTTGCTGGACCTTACTAGGATGCATTTCTCCCACGCTAGGTTTGATAGCGCTGTGATTTTCCGGAGTTTTGGGGGTGATTTTGTTTTTGGTTGTTGATGGTGGGACTGGAGTCGACATGGCCTTAGAGGGGTCTGTTTTGGGCGTAGAAGGAACTGATTCAAGGAGCTTTTTGGTTTCTGCAGAGGGGTCCGTCTCACATCGCTGAGCCAAACGCTTAGACGGAGAACGCTTGATGCTCGTGTCAATAGGCTGAAAAATGATAGTTAGCACTTTATTCCGCCCTGAAGGATAGATTTCATGAGGATATGTTGCGTAGTTCTCACTTCAATTGCCGGCGTCTGGCCTCTTAATCGAGCAGACCTGCGGGTTGCCATGGCAAAGAACGACGCCCGCTCAAATCACAAACAATCTAATCGGATAATGACCGTCGGCTTGGAAAAGGGAATATTCGAATAATGTGTGTTGACTGTACGTGCGGAGATGAGGAGTTGTCTAGATGCTGCTTTGCTCGTCGAGCGCGCGATGTCTTCTTGTCTTCCTCCACTCTTGACGTTCGTTGTTGTGGATGTAACGGATTCGGTAGAAAGTAAACAAACCACGGCTTAGGTAAGCTGATGTCACGAGTAACAAACAGTGCAAACAAATGACATAACCAAAGCCTGATTAGTCATCATAGTGGACGTCATTTGCCAGACCGTCAAACGTCAAACCTCAAACGCCAAACACGAGATTCGCAACCAAGTTCCCAGCGGTCTTCCATCATGATCGACAGCCTGTATTATTTTACATGAGATAGCGGAAGCCGATAACTGTTCCAGGCTAGAAACATCAGCAAGTAATAATAACAGCCCAAAACTCGACTTCGTTTCGCCACTAACTATTATTGGGGCAGTTCACTGCAGGACGGTGGCTGGTAGTGCGAGTTACAATACCAATCGGATAAGTACTAATACAGGCGTGGTACCCTGCAGCAGCCCTCTGCATTCATCTCTGGCTTGAAGTAATCAAACGACTTGCACAGCCCATGTTTTTCTTCAAGTTGTGATACAAACAAGCTCTGTCTGTCCGACATACCCAACTCCAACTCCCAGTTCAACTACATTACAAATGGCTACCACAGACTCGGGATACAGAGTCACAATGCAAGAATTATAAGCCGTCATACCCTCGGATAGCCGCAGCGACGTTGGCTTAACAATCCAAGTGACCTTTGTTGGCTGCCGTTGACAACTTCTCATCAATCGGCACCATCCAATGGTGTTCCACTCCAGGGATGTCCTCATTTCTAATTATAGCCATAACAATAATGTGCAATTTCTGCAGGGCATCTGTAATTCTTGACTGATGAGCACTAGCTGTGATACACGAATTCGGATTTTAGATTCCGCACAAGTTCTCGAGATCTGCAGCTCTCTGGCGTTTTGTTATGCGGAATTCGTTTGGCCTTTTTCACCCGCTCTGTTGAGTTCACCAGATTGAATGTAGTAAGGTGTTGGAGTTCGAGGAAGCTATGTGCTGTGACATCTATTCGCTCACAGCCCAAAGGGATAGGTCTCGTCCGCTCCAATATGGTCATGCGGCTGGTGTGTTACCAAAGATTTAACGGCCTCAGTTCTCTCAAACCAAATAAAGCCATCAAACTGGTCTGCAAGATCAGTCGACGAGTAATGTGAGGTACGTTCGGTCCTGGGGCGATAGATGACACCGATAAATCGCTCTAGCCGAGGCGACGCTATTTTCATGGCATGGAGCAGCTCGGCATTTGCGATATTTTTTCTGAGCTCAAGATAAAACACCTGCTTTTCTGACTGGTGAGCCAGGTATTCCCAAGAATCACTCCTCGAAGGCACAACATCCATGATATCCACATCCCCGCCCCATTCATGAGCTGCTGCGACTGTGCCGGTATGTGTACCACATCCAATCAGGGCAACATTGTCTCTGCCGAATTCTTCGCGACAAAGCTGGCCAATGTTCAGTTCTCCTCTGCGTCTTCCCATACTAGTATACCTAGCATCGCCAATGTGGCTATTGTGTGCCCAGACAATGACTTTGGATTCCGGCCCTTTGACATTGAGGATGCGTTTCAGAGTCTCGAACATGTGAGAGTCTCTAAGGGACCAAGAGTCCACCGAGCCTGAATACATTGCCCTGTAATACGCCTCCGCATCAGCTACAAGATATGCATTCTGTTCAGCACTGTGGAACTCATCTCCGCCTTGGTGAGCTGCTGTGTACTCCAAACGCTTCTGGAGAAGATCGCGGAGCATGTCAAGAACTGCTTCTTCGCATGTTTTCATTCCACTGTCAAGGTAACTTGCTAGTCCGTATTCTGTCGGATCTTCAACCCATGGCTGCAAACACCCATATCGCTGGCGAGCGAGCTTCGCCATATTTGGATCAATTGCATCCAGGTATTTGATGACAGCGTCTATGGATCTGCCCATACTGTACAAATCCAACCCATAAAACCCAACTCGACTGGTTGACGGACGACTGCGATTGTAGTCCCTCATCCAGTGCACCATATCTTGCACGTCTGAATTTTGCCACATCCAAGTTGGAAATCGCTGGAAGGCGGGTTACTCTGGGCGTTCAATCTTTGCTTTAACTCCTGAGCGTTGTCTAACGTATCTGTCTACTGCTTCTGAGTCTGGCCAATCTGCCTCGACAGTTACAGCATCAAATCCGTGATTCTGAATCAAGTGCTTGGTTATCTCCGCTCGAGCTTGATAGAACTCTGACGTGCCATGGGTTCCATCTCCAAGTAACACAACTGTGTACTTTCCCAGATGGTCGAATCGAGACCCAAATGAGTCGCTTGAAAGAGGCGGGAGGGCCTTTGCATTTGACTTGATAAGATCAACGAGCCTAGAAGCAGCCATAATATCTTATTGCAATCTAATTGAGCTGAGCATATATTGATCTCAGAGGAGGTTCAGCTTCAATACCGGTAGCCCTTGATTCAATACGGCTTTATCATAATAGAAATAAGACGAATAGGTCACGACCAGATGGACTACCATGGGTAATAAATAAATAGTAGGATGTTCAACTTGTGACGCCACTAATGACTTCATAAACTTAGTTATTTACCAAGTCCCCGGTGCCTTCCCTGTTTAACTACATGTCTATATTATTGAACGGAAGGACTACCACAAAACAATTCGAAGGAGAGAAGAGATGTTAACAACATAAGCTGAATCTCTCTGTCGACAAAACAGAACAGGGTGATTCATTTGAGAGCCATTAAGACCTCCTGTTGTCACTGCCTACCAGACTCACCATAGGGTTCAATCTCTTATTCGCAGACTGCCATACAAAGGGTCTAGCCCCAAAAAGCTCCAACCCGCGATAATGGATTTAGAAAGCACGGAAATCAAAACCAGGGTGGAAAGATTTGAGTCCGCTATGGAAAAAGTGTATGGCAATCATAGAGACGTTTCAGATCCGTCTGCCTGGACCCCTCCTCCAGCTCCAGGGGGCCATCGTGGCCGGTATCTATGGACAGATGCATTTGGAGTTGTAAACTTCCTGACATTGTACAAAATGCACTCCGATCTAAATGCTGAAAACGGATACCCAGAGAGATATCTCACATTCGCAGAACGACTTGTGGAGACCGTCCATGATGTTCTAGGAAGAACTCGAGATGGAACTTCCCGTCTACCAGGTGCCACTGATTCGGAGCCATTGGCTGGGGGGCTAAGAATTGGGAAAGTCCATGAGAGCGGTTCGGATGGCGATGGACAATACCACCACTATCTAACGCAATGGATGTTTGCTCTTAACCGGCTGTCAATGGCAACGGGAAATCCGACCTACAACAGACAGGCATATTCACTGGGCAAAGCTATTCATCCACATTTCTTCGTAGGAATCGGCACTCACAATCCTCGTATGGTATGGAAAGTAGCGATGGACCTTTCACATACCCTTGTTTCTAGCGAAGGAAATCTGGATCCGTTGGACGGATATATCACATTCTCCTTGGTCCAGGCATCGGCCAAGAAATTCGGGGATGGTGAAGTATTCGAGGAAGAAATATCCAACTACAAGAAGGTGTCTGACCGTAGGGGTCAGCATCACCCTTCACCGGATTTCCTTGATTTGGGAATGACTCTTGTCTCAGTCCAGTGGTTTTATAATGAAGACTGGGCTGTCACCTTAGCATCTCGGTGTTGCAACATTTTGAGTAAGTGGGAAATTTTACCACAAGAAGGGCACTTGCCAGTCAATAGCGACAATTCCCAGGAGTCTACAGAACTAAGCTTCTTCATGTTGTTATAGAATCTTTGTTTGATGAAGGGTATCACCTCAAGTTCGGCTCTAGCCGTCTCGCGTTCAGGGAATTTGGAGCTTGTCTCGGGGTTGAGTGTTTTAGGGCTACAGTAGGTCCGGATGGAGAGTTATATGACTACTTCAAGGAAATGTCAGATGCGATGATTGACCAATATAATGATGGCGACATACAGACTCCAGATGATCTGAAACCTATCACCAGAGTCATGTTCGCTTCTGCGCTAATTCCAGGGGGTAAGATAATCTCATCGATATTCTCACGTACTTCTTAAACCGTTCTACTTACACTTTATCTATAGCATTCCAAGCTGGTTTCTTTGGCCCAGAGCCTATCAAGATAGGAACCTAGCCGAAAAGAAGACGGTAGAAAGGGAAAATTGCAAGATGTTCATGGAAGAGAACGAAGTCTAGGCCCGTTGCTAATAATTACCTGTATATTATAATTATTGCGATGAACCAAGGGGACGGAATAACGAGTAGAGAGGACTCCAGGAACTCAAGCGCCGCTCCCAACCCGTGAGCGCAACCATGAACTATAAATGGATGCAGCAGCTAGATTTATTGTTAGGAAGGTATTAGTCTATTTCATTGATCTAAATTTATACTCCAGGAATGCCAATAAACCCGCGCCACGCTAGTAAAGAACGAGGCAGTATATGTACCAAATATACCGTAGCGAGAGCGAGGACCAAACCCGACATCTTTATTTAGGAAGAACTGTTAGTGAATGAAGGCGGGAATCCCAAGAGCACGGGAAGAAGCAGCTTGTAGACGAAAGGAGGTAATGGACTGACCTTTTCAAGCCATGTATGAAACCATATCCCTGTCATGAGTAACATCCACAAAGATAGACCCACAATTGTCCAAACGAATTTCCTAGAAAGCTCCGCAAGAAGCTCCCCGATATCATTAGGCCCACAGGCAGTAACCTGTTTATCCGTGGTCCTCTGCGCTGGCCCTCTAGCACCATTCACATTACCACTGCTGATAATGACCGAAGATCTGGTGCCCATCATCTCAAATATCAAAAATGCGCTTGCTAAAACAAGCATAAATGCATGGCCGCTCACATCGTGGCCACCTTTCCAGGTACCCCCTGAAGCTTTGCACAACACTGAGGTAAGGACCACAGCTGGAGGTAAGTCGGACTGTGAAGGATCATCAATCATTTGTTGTTGGATCAATTCGCATCTTCCACCAGTGGCAAGAAAACCGCGATCAATTATGGGGGCCCCAAAGCACCACTGTGTCGTCAAGATCCAGGAAAAAGTAACGAGTAAATAGCGAAGGAGGGCTTGTCCGACGCGTCGCAGGCGACAGTTTGCGGAGATCCTTTTACTGGTAAACGCTTCCTGCGTTAGAAGCAGTGATAGGAATGCTAGGCTCGTCCAGAGCCATCCGATTTTAACGAAATACACGTTGAAGGCATTTCCTTTCCGGGCAAAATAATTTACCGGCTCTTGAGACTGCGAAGATATCGATGATGGGCTAGAGGGGTTCGCGGTCGGTGATATTCGAGAGTAAATGGAGCCCAGAATAAGAGTTAGAGGGTAGATAGCAAGCAGGTGGGCGGGAGGTTGTGAACCAGTGTGAGTGACCGGTACTTTCGATTTCGGCACTTCTGATGCCAGATCGTTGGAAGCCATGTTTGATTAACTATCGCAAGGCCCAACTGTGGGCTTCAAAGGTGCGGATATTTAATGAAAGCACAGGAAAAGTAGTGCCGCATCTCTAAAGACTGTATAACTGCATGTGTGTCACTGTGACACGAGCTTCTTCAAGAGTCTGAAGCAGCTAGTTAACTAGTTGACGATGTCCTTTTTTTTTTTTAATTTGATGCCTTGAGAGCGCAAGAAAAAGTTGGATGTTGATGACGTTGAGATGGAAGTGGCACGTGATGAGCTTAGACTTCCGAGGTAAAAATAGCTTAACTCGAGCTCGACGTCGATTTTCTCCTTTCCACGAGACAGCACATTGTTGGTCTGGCTGGAGACAGAGGCACGGAAAGATAGGAAGAGAAAAGGGCATCCTGTGCTGGATGGGGAGTTCTGCTGCCTATGGGATAGCTGCTCTATCTTCTCGGAAACGGGCCTCCAGGTAGTCAGCTATCCTGGATGCTTACATCAAGGTCCCGCTATCCTTGCCTATAACTATGGAATGAAAATATTCCAATATCTCAGCGCCAGAGAAACAACATGGATGGTTAAGAGGTTGTTGGTACACATGCCACCAGGATGAATCCAGTGTGCAGCCCCGCCATTTTGGTGATAGGCAATAATACTGGCCCCTCCTCCCCTCCAAGGGGAGCGTTGGCGCTTTCAAAGTACACATGCATCAAAGAACCAGTTTAGGAGCCCTTGTTTACATCGAGGTTATCTCCCTATACCGCAGCACCGCCTTAACCTACTTCGGCCTTTATTGCTTCATTATCGGTCCTGGATACACATGTGCAACGCCTTTTCCGCCCCTTGCAGCTAATGTTTTCTCGAATCCAACCGGCAGATCTCCAGAGAGACGTAACAGTGTGCTTACAGGGCTCTCTTACCTCCTGTTATTTACTATGTTTTTTTCGAATTGTTTAGCTGGCCTAGGATGACGGAAGGGCACGCTGGCGAAGGATGCCAGTGGACCCCTCATGGCCCGGGAGCATTTGTTCCCATCTCGTCCTCCTTACCTTTTACTTTCCTTTTTATTTTTTAAAGTGACCTGTTCTTTCATCTAGGCTACACTTGATAGCAGAGCTCTTGAGTAGTAATAGCTCGTGTTGCTGGCGATATCAATGATCACCGACTCCTGCTCGGCACACTCTTCGAGCCCCACTGAGAGGGCTAACAGAGGACTCTTGGATACCACGGGGCCATCTCGGGGGACCGCAAGATGTTTCGCAATTACACGATGGAGATTAAATCACGTATTCAACGTCACAAGTATTGCCATAGTGCTACACGGGCAGATCGTGATGTACTTGGCGGCTACTACGGAACCTTGCCATGTACCATTTCTGTTTGAAGCTCTTTGAATAGCAGGGGATAATTTCTGCAGCTACGCCGTTTGCAAACTTCGAATCTGCAAAATTATCCCCTGTTTACTTGAAATTTCCAACCAGCCTCTAAAATGAGTGATGTGCTGCAGCATGCCATGCTTATATTGACCCTTATTTTCTGCTGCCTCGAGACTAACACTTTACCCCTGCCTGGCCCGTCGAGGGCGGACTTCTCGAATATAAGAAACTCCTGTATTCGAGATTCTTATCTTCTGGCTGAATGACCGTCTAGCACCTGCCCAAGATTGGTCTGAATGAGTGTCATTGGACTTCCTATAAAAGTCTTCGCCGCTGCTGTGACGCAATACGCCCTGGATGAGGAGCAGCTCGTCTCTTGCAAACGCGCTGACGACTACACCGTCATTATTGGCTATCCAGTATGTTGGGAAGGGCAATACGTTGGTGAGCGGGTGGCTTTGAAATGGACACTCCTTCGCCCTCAATGGTACATTGACCGCCTAGCGTTTACTTCTATCTCTGAGGTATCCACACCATCCTGGCTTTGTAACGCCACGACATGGTGACAAACAGCTCACCAACAGCCCTGGTGTCCCAGGGCGTTATTTTCTTTTTTTTATTTTTGCCTTTTGACCTTTGCTTTTATATTCTGTCTGCATATACTCCGATTCCCCACAGGAAAGGAATGAAGGCTTCGAAGTATTCGAGTAAAAAATATTACCGCCGTACTGCGCACGGATCATCTTGTTTCTGTACCAGAAGGAGAAAAAAGCAAAAGTCTGGGGCATCATATATACCGATAACCGATATAAGTACTCTGTGAAGTACACTCTTGATCTCCACGGCTTCCATACCTATCTACACTCGACCTCCTTCAGCCAGCTTTCTATCAACCTCCTTCTCACCAAGCGCAGCAACAAACATCTCTTAGGGATATTCATTTCCTTGCTTCCAGCCCTTTCATTATTCAACCACCCTTTTATCTCTTACGCAGACAACATTTCCAGCACTGCTAACAGATGCCTTCAGAAGGCGTCCCCAAGTGCCAGCGGTGTCGTAGGGACCACAAGAAGGTTAGATTGCTGTCGCATTACCCCTTTTACTTGAAAGCTCCTAACGACAGTCTAGTGCTCACCCGAGAACAGGCAATGGCCAGGGACAAAGTGTGACCGTTGTGAAAACTACGGTTACGAGTGTTCCGAAAATCTTATGGCGCGGAGATCGTCTCAGAAAGAAATGGACACATCACGGCCAGCTAACCGTCTTATGGAGGCCTATCCACATAATCGATTCTTTGGCTGTCCTCAAGAATTATCGCGACCATTACCTGTGCGCGCTCAAATCCCAGTTGTTGGAGTAATGAACCAGCAAACTCATTTTCAGTCCCCTTGGGCAGGGCTATTCGACTACCTCAGAAATATTGACTGGCTAAGCTTAACTTGTTCTCCTACCCCTATGGCTTCCAACCCCTTTTTTACAATGTTTCGTTCGTCTATCTGCCCAGTGCCTGATATTTCAGCAACACCGCTGGGCCAGCGATTAATGTATCTGGAAGCATTCGCGCAAAGTCAGAGATACATGCAGGACCCCTCGGTCGCCCTCTCTGCATCTCCACTAGAGACCTCCATCAATCTTATAGCTACCCGATTACAGAGGGACTTTCCCCGGATAGCTGGTATGTTCAGCTTCGATGAACTTGTCGTGATATGTGGAAACTATGTCCGTTACGGCTCCTACTGGAACGTGTTTCGGACTGCCCTCCAGACTGATGAAATCCTGCTTGTTGACCCTGCATTCTCATTCGATATGGACCTGCCAAAAACTACATTCGAGAGCGCCCAGCAAATATGGCTATGCCCTGAATTCGGGCTGAAGCAATTCTGTCAAAAGCTCTCTGGCGTCAGCCAGATGATTTCCGATCTGGCTCGAACTGAGCAACATTCAGAAGCACGGGCATTCCTCGCATCCAAGATACCCGATCGTATCGAGGAAGTACTTGGTCCTCAGGCTACTTCTTCAACAATACACAACTATCCTTCCCCCCTTTTCCCTCCAGATACGATGACAAGTTCCCCAGTCGAATTAACAGACGGCGATGTATATTCACCTTCCACTTCCGCGGGCGGCGATGGGTCCGAAGACGGCTATTCATTAGACGGGAGGGGATTCCAACCCATTACAGAGAATGGCCGCTACAATGATGCCTGCTTTTGGGGTAATTAACTGTCTTAGGGTATTTCCAACATCTCGGCGCAGTTTACATGGGAGATGGTGGGTGGGTAGGTGGCAGGGGAAAACATGACCATAACTATTCTTTCAAGATAGGTAATTTTCCGGGCGTTTGAATTCTCCCTGGTTTTTTGGGTTTTTTTTTTTTTTTTTTTTTTTCTTCACTTTTTCTTCTTGGGCGGATCTTTTCCTTACCGCAATCACTCTGTTTGCCTTGCCCCTAATGGTGCATTACTGTTGTTCACAATGATTTTATAATTTTTCATGTTTTAGCTGAATAGACAGACCATCGGGTGGATCACCATGACTATTCCAACTCCCTGCCTCGTCACAGGAGCTGCTATTCGTCGGAGAGCAGAAAGATGGGGTCTTCATTCTTGTATTCGTACGGTGGCTTGGGGCCTGGTATGACTTGCAGCCTGTCCGTTGCTCCGCTGCTAATGTGGGATCCATGAAAGCCGACGCCATGCAGCGGGAATAGATATTGCTGGGAGGTTTTACTAGCATGAAGTAGTAGAAAGTGTTTGATTGAGATTCAGCTCAGATCCCAAACTAGTTACCCCTTTTACCGCGTGAGTTGTCAGAATAATGACGTTCAGTCAGTATCTCTTGTTATTTCTCAAACAAATGCCTCTACTCCAGAGGAAGGTGGAATGAGATAAAAGCGCATTGGCTGTGGCCTATCTACATCTCGCAGCTTTTGGAATGCACCAGTCCTTTCGGCTTACTGGTTTCCCTGAGCAAGAGAAAGTTTGTGACAAAGGGGGCGGCGTACGGGAGCCTTGACTAAACCCAAATCTAATACACGTATCTCTCTACGGAGTATATTGTCAACAACTCATGGGCTTTCTGGTTCAAGAACCTAATCACCGGGCTGGTGGGCGGGCAGAGAGAAATATAACCAGGCGTAAGGAGCAGGATCCTTACTGACTCGCCAGCACATCGCCAATTAGCGGACAGTTACAGTCCCAAACACATCTGAACCCCAGCCACCAGAATTTGACGCTATGCGTGCGCTAATATAATATACCCTTGAATACGTCGGGCCAGCTGAGAAAACACTATACTTCTCCTTTTCTCATCATTTCATGTTCATATGCCCGCCTTATTTGGGTTAATGTCATGCAGGTATAGCGGCCAAGCTGAGGGGGCTTATCCTTGATACATGGTACTTGGTTTCCTGCCACTGGTTAGCATTTTACCCATGTCAGCTTCATCCAGAATGGCGGTACCTTACATGTTCTTTGAATTCCTCGAAATCTTTATTTTTGGATTAACTACAGCTCTATCAGGGATGATAGACGTATGTATGATGCGTAAAGGTAAGGTGAACCGTGTTCTCCGTAGGAAAGGGAGAAAACCATGTAAGGAAGAAAAAAAAAAAATTCAGCGCTAGTTAACGCACACAAAGGCCCATAACTGCAGAGGCTGTAAAATCCGTTAACAGTGAGACCATGGGTCAACAGTATTGGGATGTTCTGTGCTGCTGTCCCCATGCTCCTTTTTCCCTGCATACGGTCCATCAGCCATGACGGATTTTTGAGGGGTTGTATTTGTGCTTCGATTGTGGATGATATGTTCACCGCTAAACAGACCATAGTATAGGTACGCCGAGCATATAAAAAGTGGTAGAAATGGCGGGTTCCCCTACATTGGCCCAAGGTACTAGTGACGGCTTGGTGCATGCACGCCGCCTCTTTGCCAGCCTGTGGGTTCGATACTATTTCCCCTCTCGGTGAAAGGTACATGCAGGAGATGTTACATAATCTCTTTGGAGGGTACTCCGTATAGAAATGCTCAAGGGTACAGAAAAGGAAAAGAAAAAGAAAAAAAGAGAGAAGGAGAGAGAGAGAGAGAAGAAAGGGAGAGAAAAGTGTGACGGCACCGGATTTTGATAGCACCGGGAAATCCCCATTCGAAATGATCCAGGAAGTAATTCTCTGGTTGGGCAGATCACGATAGGAAATGCATGCCACCAACAAAATCAAGAGTGCTAGTTATGCAGGGAAACAGGTGAGAGCCTGGGGATCATGTGGCAAGGGTAACAAGACAGCAGGAGAGACTGAGCATGGGCGGCATCCTTGAAGCCTGATAGGCAGGGTAGGTTCCATTTTCAAACAAAGAAAACAAATGGCAGGAACAATACCTGGCTCCCTTCGACAGTGCAAACAGGGGGAAACAGAGCGAGGGGATCCCCCTGGAGTGAGGTTTCTGTGATCCTTGTGCTCTGTAACCGGTGTTTGCTTTTTGGGTCCCGAGTGTTTGGGACCAATTGGGATGGAAAGCTGTGAGCCGTAAGAGTGGGATTTGGGATAAATAGGGAAGACGAGAGAGGGTTGGGCGTTGTTCCGTCCGAGTAACCCGAGTAACCCCCTTGTTAAACTAGGAAGGTCGGTTTAGGAGAAGCGTGATGACGGCGAGAGTCGATGGTTTGAAATCATTCAGCCCCCTGAGTATAATAGGATATCCTATTACAACGCTTGTGCCTTCGAGTTCACAGGCCCCTTGTATCCCTTCAGCACACGCATGCTAATGCATGATACATGATCGCTTTCCCGGTCCTAGCCCTCCCAAGTCATCTCAAAAGCAAAAATAGCAGACGTATATATGGGGGCGGGTTACTCCGTATCGATCGCCAGGATGTCAAAATGGCGAGGTGCAGGTGACCTATAAACGAGAAGCGGGCTGTTCAGGAGTGGTACATGGTGGCCTCCCAGCAATCTGCCCAATCTATGTCACCCCGGATGCGTCTTCACATTTTGCCCTATAGTGGTGGGGTCTTGTGCCTCATAGAAACGTGGATGGATTGGCGAGACGTCCGGAGTATTCCAGGGCGGGGAGATCAGTCAATCCAAAGCCCTGTTTGTCCTTGTACGATCCGCATATGTATCTCATCTTCCAACGAGTCTAACACGCTTCTTTAAAGCCGCTTTCACTGATTGTCGGGAATTCAGAAATAAGGTTCAGGTCGGCTACTGAAGAATGGCTTTCGAGACCCGTCGGGTTGGAAGATTGCGTGTGGCATTGTTGGCGCCGGTGTCAAAGGATGATATGCGATTCTGATTGCGCCCCTTGACCCAATAGCCTGGCTGTTCGGGCCGGCAGTTCTAGTTCCGCCAAAAACCCACGAATGATATTGCTTCTTCGACTCTCCAGGCATGTCAGTTTGTTAGGCCCGTCTCAGCCATGTACTGCATCGTACACCATAATTCTATGCGTGGATGGGCCCGGTTTCCTCGTTTTGACTGTGTGACTGTGGCAGCTTTCAAACCCCGTCAAAAGAAAATGTGGCCAATAACCGATGCAAATCTGGTAAAGAGTCAGAGTTCCGTTACTCAGAACGTGGGGAGACAAGGCGAGTATATCATGTCTTGGAGCGGGATCCTCCAACTTAATTGGTGAAAAATAATTTCTCTAGGATAGCTATTGACTGGGCCTAAGATGCAAACGCCCTTAAACACAGCCAGGGTCGTATCTCGGATAGAGTAAATCTCACTGATAATTAGGAATGTATAATGTTCACCAGTGCCAATATATTGATAAAAGGGAAAAAGAGTAAGAAACCATGCCATGGTCGTTTAGACGAGGTAACAACTTATGAAGCCGTCTAACAACACATTGTTGAAGAAATATTCATCATAGCCGTTGTCAGATTGTTGGATGAAAAAGGTTCCTGATCCCTGAAGTACGGAAACCCAGGCATCAGCTAACAGTACCTCCTATGAAGGTTGGTGTGTACTAAGTAATTGGTAGGCCATTGCATCGGGCCACAGGGGAAAAAACCCCAGTACCTTGGTATCACAAAGTAAGCAGAGAGAAGTACCAGGTATTTGACAACTGGCTGTTTGCTTTGTAAAAATCTGCTCTTAGGATGACTTTGGCTTCGGGTTAGCCTCAACACTAGCGGTTTCCAAAGAGCCTACGATCTCCCTCCCATGGAGAAAAGTTGCGAAAGTCGGGAATATAATCCACAGTCCACTAGAGTAGAGAAAAAACAATTACCTGTAAGCGAGGTTACACAGAATAAAAAACAGCGACATTTCATGCGTAGACAATGTACTTGTGCGATTCATGGTGACTCACTTTGGTATTATCCATAGAAAGACCAGGGTAAACATATCATTATGTCCGATGTTATCAAATCCAGAATACGCCTCGTTGAGCCCTTCAATCCATCATCAGATATAATTTGTGGATACAGGGGAGTCTCGGTTTAAAAAGTGATTTTAGGTGCCTGATATCGAGATTGCATACAGAACACTCACCGTAAAGTACTGTTTTACTTAAGGTCATTAGGCTGGCGCTAAATATGGCCAGTAACGCATAAGCACCAGCTGTCCCTGTCACAGATTTTTCTGCAAGACAGACCATCCACTTGCGCCTTTGGATGATTTTCCCGAATTACGAGCGATGGAGACTGGCTTGGCTCGGGTCCAGACAAGGAAGAGGTAATAGCTATACAGTGCGGTCTCGACGATATTTAAAGCAGCCTGGGCAGATGTAAATCCATTTCGAGAGTTAAAGGCTGGCCAGCCATAAATGTAATCAATCGTGCCATAAAGTGCATAGGGTGACCAAAAGTGGTGATAGGCTCCCCCAGGCATACTGTGAGGTCGCAAGAAGACATAGCCCGTATCCCACAGGACCAAAGGAAGCGAGAAAATCAGCCAAAGCTGCACAATAGGTGATGGAGAGTGGGCCCATTGGCTCAGCTGCCTGCGCGTAGCCGTCTGGCGTTGCGTATCCGAACCCTTGGATGCGGCAGAGCTGGAAAGAGCAGGAGGGGGGAAATCCTCCGGGTGCTGGCGCGTGCCCACCATTGGAAAAAGTAGCTAGCTTATATAACTTATTGAGAAACGACTTCACGGGTATAGTTATCGCTCAAGATAAGTGTCGCTGAAGTTGTTGTTAGCAGCGATGTCAACAAAGACGACCATCAAACGAAAATAGGCGCGGGCAGCGGCGGCGTCACCTGACCCAGGCTTGGCCCCTGCTGTCCAACTCGGCTGATGACTCAGCTTGGACCGCGCAACCCCTGAAGATTGTTGATATTGGTCATTGTGACGGATAGGTATAGGGGGGAACGAAGAAACCAGTCATCTTCATCTTCCTCAAGGCTATATGAGTAAATACATTTCCAGTAATCCTGAAAATGGACGGAGCTGCTTCGAAACCACCCTTGTGGACTACTTTCGTAGTTGGGAGTCATGACTTTGCCTATGGCGGACCAACAGCCCAGATGGCTTGAACCGCTTGCCCATCTAGAATGTGCTCTACCGCCTCTATGGATTTGGAATTCCTTGACGCGATCTGAAACCGCCTTTATTCCGGTCGACTCTGAGGGGAAAAGTGTCACTTGGTATACTTGCGGGCCTACGGTCTATGACGATACTCATTTGGGCCATGCCAGGAATTATGTTACAACCGATATACTCCGTTGCATTATGCGGGATTACTTCAAGTTCGATGTCAAATTTGTCATGAATTTAACTGATGTGGATGATAAGGCACAGCTATAGATACACGAATGGTTATATATTTGCGATGCCCAGCCAAATACTGACCTGTCAATCAAACTTTATAGATAACCAATTACCAGAGCACGGCGGCAACACCTTTTAATGAATACAAGGCTAAACATCCTTTCCTTGATACCAAATTTTTAGACATGGCACAGCTTGCGTTTTCAACTTTCCTGGAGCAGCGTCTGCCTCTTCTAGGTTCTGACACACTACCGTCAAACTTGGCCATGAAGCAAAATGCAAATACGCCTTCAACCTCGGTGGAGACGCCCTGAATGGCAATAAAAAACCTGGATCGGACGAAGCCAACATTAAAGGGGTATCAAGACCGCCTCAATAGCTGCGGAAGCTATAAAGAACGCGCTTGACAAAATTTCGTCTAAAACCTCTGAACCAGAACTTTCTATTGAAGCCATGAGTACCAAAAGCTTCATTCCAAGTGAACGCTTAAACTCAATTGAAACATCATATGAGGCTTGTGAAGACGTATTCCTCGTCTATCTTGACTTCGTCGGTGGCTCCTCCATTTCCAGTTCCAATTATTCGCTCCTCAGAACACTGACCAGGAATTTTGAGACGCGGTTCCTTGAAGATATGCGGTGTTTGAATGTTCTTGATCCAGATGAATTGACAAGGGTAGCTTCATACATCCCCGAAATAATCCAGTTTATCGAGAAGATTATTGACAATGGTTTTGCGTATTCTACATCGGATGGCTCCATATATTTTAACATCGATAAATTCAAAACGCTGGTAATCATTAAGCCAATCTAGAGCCCTGGAATAGACATAATAACCACCTTCAAAGGGATGGAGAAGGCTCCTTATCGAAAAACACGACAGCAAAGGCTTCAAAAAACGACTTTGCTCTCTGGAAGGCATCCCGGCCAGGGGAACCAAGTTGGCCCAGCCCTTGGGGAAATGGTCGGCCTGGCTGGCATATTGAGTGTTCTGCAATGGCTTCGGCTAAACTTGGAAGTCAAATCGATATTCATTCTGGTGGGATTGATCTTGCATTCCCACATCATGATAATAAACTTCCCCAGAGTGAGGCGTACTGGAATGAAACCCAATGGGTCAATTACTTCCTCCATATGGGTCATCTCTCCATTCATGGCTCAAAAATGTCTAAATCCCTCAAAAATTTCACGACTATAAGGGAAGCACTTGCCAAAGGCACCTGGACCTCGTGAAGTCTGAGAATTGTTTTTCTTCTTGGTGGGTGGCGAGAAGGTATTGAAATCACGACAGATATGGTTAACGCCGCACGCTCCTGGGAAGCAAAACTGGACAATTTCTTTTTAAAAGCCAAGGATATTGTGGTATTGCAAAAAACCATACTCGAGGAGCAGTCTCATAATGATGATTTGCTTACCCGACATCTCATATCGGCCCAAGAGAAAGTTTTAATGCCCTGTGCAGTTCCTTTGATACCCCTGCTGCAATGAATGCCATATCAGAGCTGGTGTCAAACTATAATAGTATCGAACCCTTGGAGTTGATCTGCATTGTTTTTTCAGGAGGGTGCTAGATGGGTTACATCAATGATGAACATCTTTGGGCTAAATGGGCATGCTTCACCAGACAATCCTGACATCGGGTGGGCCGGCATTGATGTCCCTGAATATTCAAAGCCATATCTGAACACCCTTTCAGCTTTGCGGGATGCGGTCCGCCGGCTTACAAAGTCAAATGCCCATATCACGTCTCAAACTCTCGGTAGTATTATAAATACTATCGGCTCAAGCGCGGACCTGGGGCATTCCATGTCAGATCTAGCACTCCCATACGTGGAGGTTCTGAGGAAATTCAAAGACCAAATTGCATCCCTGAACTTAGGTACAACTGAAGTAGACCCAAACCAGCTTTTGAGGTATTGTGATCGCATTAGAGACGTGGATCTTTTGATCTCAGGATCTACCTCGAGGATCAGGACAGTGGCTGTGCCATAATACGTCCAGTCACAAGTGACCTGATTAAGACCCGCCAGGGACAAACTGAGCGAAAACTTCAGGCACAAAAGCGCAAGGTAGAAGAGGGACGCAAGCAAGCTGAGAAGATGGAAAAGGGGAGGCTCAGCCCTTATGAGATGTTTCGAACTGACGAGTTTACTGCATGGGATCAGGACGGCGTGCCAACAAAAGATTCAGAAGGGAAAGACCTCTCAAAAACTCGTGTGAAGAAGCTGAGGAAGGATTGGGAGAGGAAAAAGAAGTTGCAGGAGGCATGGATGTCTGGTTAGTCAGCGGAAGCTAACAGGATGGAGCCAGGTCAAGAGGAGGAGTAACAGTCCTTCCGTGGGAGATCAAATTTCAAAGAGTCCTGGACAGTCCTTGCGTATCTAAGGACTGTGAGGCTTGGGCTTGTGATTGATATAGAACAAGTGGTGGTAGAGCTTTAAAAGCAGCTTTCGATATGATGAAGGTGATGATGTTGTTCTTCCTAGGACCAGGCCAAGGACTAAAGATACAGAAGTAGCAGCTAATTACATAATCAATCCCAATATCAGGCACTCGCTGCTATGCCTGATTAGTAACTAAGTTAATTAAACAGGCTAATCTAGGCACCCCATAACTAATGAGTGATGTTAATGATAATATTCTTGAATCTTTCAACAGCACAATCGGTGAGCGATGCTTGGTTATCTATCCCTCGATCAAAAGAGTACAAAAACAGCTAACGAAGGGGACAAAAAATTAAAACATACGAAAGTCGGGATTCGCTGGTGGTCACCCACCCAACTACTAACCGACCGGCAAGTGGCTTAAGTACAGCTGAGCGGACGGGAAGCTCTGTTTTCCACTTCCTGTGTTCGTATGTGCTTGTCATTTATCGTGACAGGTTTATATAGCTAGATAAGTAGCTAGCGGCTTAATTTACAGGAAGATTGGTTAAAGGTGAAGAATGGCTCCAAACCAACTGCTGGAGCTATCGTTCATGCGATTACTCCAATACAGTTCTGATTGTCATTGAACACCTTTAAAAATTGTCAAAGCCCAGGCTTCAGCATTATAGAATATAGGTCTATATGGTTTCACTGGGCTTCGTCTCTTCTCGCTCTTCAGCGTTATCCTCGACCGTTCCTTTCTGGAATTTGCGCAAGCAAGCTGTTTGTAGAAGTTTCAATATCTCCTACCGGACAATAATTTGTTAGTTCCTTGACTCTTAATTGTCTCGAAATCTTCTTGGTTATCATGATAATTGATTTGCTGTATAGCGGCTTCGAAACCTACCCACGACCTTTTTTCATATACATCAGGACGGTTTTTATACAATGAAAGCGCACGGTTGCGAGAAAGATATGTCGAATTTGACGTGACTGCCCTTAAAGAGGCAGTGACCAAGCATACCGGTGCTAAAGTTACCAATCTCGCGAAGCTCGGAGAGGGCGGTTTCAACCGAGTTCTCAATGCGACACTTGAAAACGGACTGCAGTTGGTTGTCAAGATTCCGTATCCTCTCTCGGTACCAAGAAAGTATGCCACTGCCAGCGAAGTTGCAACACTTACATTTCTTCGCTCAAAGGGGATACCTGTCCCGAAAGTATATGGGTGGTCAGCAACCGACGAAAATGCAGTTGGAGCTGAGTATGTTATAATGGAGCTTGCATCAGGTATAGGCCTTGATACCAGATGGTTCAGTATGACGAAGAAACAACAACAAACTGTGGCACTGGGGATTGTTGGCATAGAAAAAACCCTATTCGATATTCCCTTTGGTTCCATTGGAAGTCTGTATTTCAAAGAAGACCTACCTCTCGAACTACAGCATAATCTCTATCTTCCTGGGGCCTCGGACCCTGATGGAGATTGCAATACCTTTTGCATTGGACCTATTGCGGACTACATGTTCTGGTACGGCAAACGTTCAGAGTTGAAATTAGACCGCGGCCCTTGTGAGTAGTTAAACGCTCCAGTTTTGGCTTCTTCTGGCCAGAATTTTCGCTAAATTTAGTTCTTATAGGGAGTGACCCGTGCCAATATCTCAGAGCAATTGGGAATCGTGAACTAGAATGGACCAAAAAATATGGAAACCCCCTTGAAAAGGAGTTCCCTTACAACACACTCCTTCCTGGAACTATCCCTCATGAGAAGTATGCTGCATTACTTGAAAAATATCTGGCAATTGCTCCTTTTTTTCTTCCCAAGGACCCGCTAGACCCCGGTAATCAACCGACGATTCGACACCCAGGTATGTATGTTGGGCTTCTGCGTCCTTTACTACGCTGACGACTAGCGCAGATCTCACACCTGCTAATGTTATTGTGTCCCCCGACACATTTGACATTACTTGCATCATTGATTGGCAACATGCTGTTATCACCCCACTCCTGCTCGCTGCTGGGCACCCGAAGATGTTCGAAAATCCAGACGTAGAACCTCCAGAAACGCTAGAAGTGCCGAAGCCTCCAGAGGGATATGATACTCTTGACATTGAAACAAAAAGCCAGGTTGATGAGCTCCTCAGGCGACGTTATCTTCATTATCTATACCGCGTTTTCAATGGAGCTCGGAATAAAAGCCATCTCTCTGCCTTTTACGACCCTGTATTACAACCTCGACAGCATCTTGTTGACCACGCCGGTCGCCAATGGAGTGGAAACATCATAACTCTGCGGGGTGCCTTGATGCGGATGTGCGGATATTGGCCTCTTTTATCGACCAAGGAGGAATGCCCTATCTCTTTCACTGATGCAGAATTAAAAAAGCACTCTGAGGATGAGGCAATGTGGTTCGACTTAACCGCCCTAGTTCACTATTGGCGTGATGAGCTTGGTGGACTAAGTGAGGAGGGGTGGATAAGGTCGGAAATGTTCGATCATGCCATGAAAAGGAATAAGGAGCTTCAGGAAAAATTCATCAATGATGCTGATCCTGATGAGGTTGAAATGGTTGTAAAAGGCTGGCCATTCCAAGATAAAGAGGAGCTGTTCTAAGTAGGAAGCGAATGTCCAAATTAACTACCGAAGGGAGAAGCTTAATATATGGTTCAAGGAGAAGGCCCAAGCTTCCCGGGGCCGAGGCGAGCCTTTTTTTTATATATCATGTGACATGGTTATAATGGAACTCACCACGCCAAGAGCCTTTCCCGGCTCCAAAGGCGAAATGGAAGGGCTGCGAGTGGTTGTTGCATATGTTGTATTATTCCGTACCAGCGTTGTCGTCGGAGCGCATGGCACAGCTATGTTGGACACTGGGCGGCGGGGCAACGAACTGTACGATGGGCCAAAGGCAGAGTGCCGACACTGCATATTCCGAACACCGCCAAACCCAAGGGCTCAGACTCAAGATATGAGGAAAACGGTACGACACAGAGATGTTACCGTTACAAGTGATTGAGCTGTTCGACCTGCGGGGTTGAGAGATAGAATAAAGAGGGAATACTCTTATCTGCATGCCGGATACGGGTTTAAAGCTAACAATGCTGGAGGTGGGAGAGCTGGGTATAACTAATGGGTACAAAGTGTGGTAACATCGGCACGCAGACAAACCTCTTACAACAGGACAAGGACCTCAGGTAAGATGGTGTCCTCGGGTATGCTCACAACTGCTCTGTCTGGACGCAGGAGCATCTGATGCCCTGCGAACAGCGAAACCTCCAGCTTGAGGAGCTAAATCTGCTCATACTTTTCCTGGTGACTGTGATGATGGTTGCAAAAGGGCCAAAGGAGCAGGGATGCGAGCAGAAACTTATCTATTTCCCCCAGGGTAACCTAGGACAGCTTGGTCCGAAAGCGGTGTCTGCAGCAGCGGCATCTGAATACTGGAAGGCAAAATGACAGCCAGCTGACTGTTTGCAATGTCTCATTGACCGGGATAGTAGGACTGTGCACGCCTTGCAGCTTGATCCTGCGATGCCAGCAATTAATATATATGACTGCATCCAAAGGGGCCTGGCCTGGCTGGAAGCAGGCCAGAAAGCAAGCTCTTCGTCATATATTACGAGCTAGCATATGGCCGAGGTGGAACAGTGCAGATCAGCGGAGATTGGGGCTTGCGGCAGAGTGGACAAAAAGTGACTTGTTCTCCAGCGGGCGCTCGCATATCTGGTGATGTACTGGCCATGTCGCCCAGGCGGCAAGGGGAGGGCTTGTCCATGGAGTAAAATAGGGGGGGAGAAGCAGGTTGTTGCTGGGAACATGGCATGCCGGCATCGCTCTTCCCCACCGTGGCGTCCCTCGGGCGTTGCTGGTTTATTTGCTGTTTGCGAGGAGCTGGATCGTTAGTTTGTTGCGAAATGAACGGTTTAAGTCGATAGATTAAATAAAGGAAAGCTACCCCGTATATATTGATATCACTCCAGGTCTTCGCATTCCCGGGGATGTCTTCTTCTTCTCTTCGTTGCTGTCGAAGTGAGTGACAACGTCATATTTCTACCCCGTACCCATCTGCGAGAAAGTCGACAGAGGCCAGTAGGTCTTGGCCCCTATAGCTGAGGTTGCTTAACTACGGGCACGGAGTAACTCAGCTCGCGATGTTGTTCCGCTGGTGCCCCTTAGTGGCTCTGGCCATCGCTTCTGGCACAGCTGCTACAGAGGTACGGAAGGGCCAACGACTCGCGAGAACTGTGGTAATGTGCGATAGCCGATGCTGACTGGAGATGCGTTACTTTAGCAGAGCTGGGAATCACCGCCATACTATCCGTCACCATGGACTAAAGGAGAGGGAGAGTGGGAAGCTGCCTATCAAAAGGCTGTCTCCTTCGTCTCGCAGCTCACGCTGGACGAGAAGGTCAACTTGACAACCGGTGTTGGGTATGTCTGGGGATAGTTAGTGGTGAAAAGGGATGCAAGACGAAACAAACAGCTAATGGCTTGATAACTAGATGGATGCAAGAATCTTGCGTTGGTCAAGTCGGCTCGATTCCGCGTCTTGGTTTCCGTTCCCTGTGTATGCAGGATGGCCCTCTGGGTATCCGATTTGGTATGGAAGCTCGAATGTACATTTTCCTTACCTAACTTGCAATACTAACTTCTATCTACCTTATGTAGGTGACTACGTTACTGCGTTCCCTGCCGGAATCAACGTTGCTGCCACATGGAGCAGAAAACTAGCTTACCTTCGAGGGAAAGCCATGGGAGAGGAGTTTCGTGGTAAGGGCGCGGACGTGATACTTGGGCCTGCAATCGGCCCTATAGGGCGCGCACCAGAAGGAGGACGAAATTGGGAAGGCCTTGGGCCTGATCCAGTCCTGGCTGGTAAGCTCGTTGCAGAGACGATCAAGGGTATGCAGAAATCGGGCGTGATTGCATGTGCAAAGCACTTTATCGCCAATGAACAAGAGCGATTCCGGATTGCTGCCGAAGCTCAAGGGTATGGATTCGACATTGCTGAGAGTATAAGCTCTAACGTTGACGACGTGACAATGCATGAGATATACCTATGGTAAGCTCTCGATCTGAGACGATGACTTTCTGATGGTATGCATTGCTAACGAACGATGTCGCAGGCCCTTTGCTGATGCTGTCAAAGCTGGAGTAGGTTCAATCATGTGCTCCTACAACCAGATCAACAACAGCTATGGCTGTGGAAACAGTTACACGCAGAACAAGTTGCTCAAGGGCGAGCTTGGATTCCGTGGTTTCATCATGTCAGACTGGCAAGCACACCACAGCGGTGTTGGTTCTGCGTTTGCTGGATTGGACATGTCTATGCCCGGTGACACTTTGTTCGGCACGGGTGTCTCCTATTGGGGTGCCAACCTCACCATCGCCGTTGCCAATGGAACCATTCCTGAATGGAGAGTCGACGACATGGCCGTCCGCATCATGGCTGCCTACTACAAAGTTGGCCGTGACCAAGTTCAAGTCCCCATCAACTTCAACTCATGGACCACCGATATCGAGGGCTACCAGCATGCACTCGTGAAAGAAGGATACGGAGTAGTCAATCAGAGGGTGAATGTTCGTGACCATCATGCACAGATAGCCCGTCGTGTGGCCAGGGATAGTACTGTTCTCCTGAAGAACGAAGGTGTCTTACCTCTCACTGGAACGGAGCAGTTCACAGCCATCATTGGAGAAGATGCAGGCCCCAATATTAACGGGCCAAACAGCTGCCCTGACCGTGGATGTGATAATGGAACCCTTGCAATGGGATGGGGTAGTGGAACGACAAACTTCCCTTATCTTGTGACCCCAGACGACGCTATCCAGCGTGAAATCGTGAGCAAGGGCGTTGGAAATGTCATGTCTGTTCTCCAAAATGGTGACTTCAAAAACATTCAGTCAGTGGCTGGTCAGGCAGATGTTGCCCTTGTTTTCATTAACTCGGACTCCGGTGAAGGGTATATTTCCGTTGACGGCAATGAAGGTGACCGGAAGAACCTGACTACTTGGAAGGGAGGCGATGAGATGGTCAAGCAGGTGACATCTGTCTGCAATAACACCGTACTTGTCATCCATTCTAGTGGTCCAATCCTGGCTGGCCAGTGGCACGATAATCCAAATATCACTGCTATTCTATGGGCAGGTCTCCCCGGTCAGGAAAGTGGAAATGCTCTGGTTGATATCCTGTACGGCAAAGAGAATCCCGGTGGTAAATCGCCATTTACCTGGGCCAGGACCGCCGAAGACTATGGTACCACAATCTTGCGGGAGCCAAACAACGGAAAGGGCGCACCGCAGCATCTATTCTCCGAGGGTATCATGTTTGAGTACAGGCACTTCGACCAGAAGAATATCACTCCTGTCTACGAGTTTGGATACGGGTTGAGCTATACCACTTTCTCCTACTCAGACCTGAGAGTAAAGCCGATGCGTGCCAATAGGTATGTGCCTGCCACCGGCATGACCAAACCAGCACCACGACTGGGCCACTCCTCGACCAAATATGCCGACTACCTGTTCCCTGGTGGCTTCAAGGGGGTAACAAAATACGTATACCCCTGGCTCACGTCGACTGATCCCAAGGAGGCGTCCGGAGACAAAAATTACGGAATGCCCCTCGAGGACTATGTGCCTCCGAATGCAAACAACGGCGATGCACAGCCTGTTCTCCCCGCCAGTGGTGTTCCTGGCGGAAACCCCGGTCTGTTTGAAGATTTGTATGAGGTCTCAGCTGTCATCACCAATGATGGGGACAGAGTAGGCGAGGAAGTCCCACAGCTGGTACGTAACCTTTCTTTTCTTCCCCCCTATCTCTCTCATAAGGTATCATCACAACTAATACAAAGCTCTCATAGTATATCTCCCTTGGTGGCGATCGGAATGCGAAGGTTGTTCTTCGTGGATTCGATCGTATCCGATTAGCTCCGCACCAGCGTTTCCGGTGGAGAACCACCATCACCCGACGAGATGTTTCCAACTGGGACCCGGCGAGTCAAGACTGGGTCATGACCGAGCACCCGAAAATCGTCTACGTAGGAAGCTCTTCGCGGAACTTACCGCTTCAAGCACCGCTGCCTGCGCCAAATCTGGCGTGAGATCGAAGCTCTCCGGTGTCGTTTTTAACGTTATTTTATCATCCATAGCGTTTCTCCTTTCCCTTCTTGATTCCACATGCCCCGTTTTGCTTTTGTATATCCTTTTTAGTAGTGTCCATAATTGATTGATTGGGTGATAGCCCGGGAAGTGGGCTTCTCTACCGTGGTTGAAGGAAGATTCCCGACTCTCTTGTTCGCTCCCAAATCGCTTGCTTTGATCCATCCAACCTCGTAAGTGAGCGTAGGATGATGATCTGATCACGCACCCCTGAGCCTCGACGGGGAGTATATCTCCATAACATCGGGCTCTTTATCCTGTAGATCGGGCTTCTCGCGGGGCCCCTGACAGGCCATGAAACAGTCGATTCGTCGAATGATCTGCTCTCGAAGGGCGTTTCTTTCCGAGATCTTTGTTTTCTTCTGCCTCATGGGAAGGAGTTTTGACGATGTTGACTTGCTTCCCCTCCTCGTACAGCAGTTATGCCTCCCTCATCCCTGCTCTCCCGTCTCCAGAGCGATGGGACTGACATGTGGATGGAGTCTCGATCCAGCTCTGTTACTCTTGATGCTCTGGCCAGATGGCTCGTTTTCGTTTCCTCGTTTCTCCAGTCTCACAACTACCATGAACTACAACTTGTCTACTCCGTAGGTGCTCATGCACATGCATGATAGCACTCCATAAGTCAATCTGATTGAACGAAGCATCGATCTGATATGTGGCGGCAAGCTGCAATAGAACAGCCATGAACTAGCTGATAGCGGTCGAACAGACCTCAGCACCGCCATTTCCCACGCCTTGAATATACGGTGAACTGATCTTCCGCGTCCAATAAATAAAATCGTCACTCGCCACAAACCAAGCACCCGAGGTTACGTTTTCAACCACTTTAGTTTGGACATGACGACGGTGGCGTCTGGGTGAAGGTAACACCAGGGGAGCAGCAGACTTTTCGTTGGATGCATCGAGGCTCAGCCCTACGCTTGGAGTGCCTGAACTGATTGATATTGAGACTTTGGTGGCTTCAGGGCGATCCGAAAACGGGCAACAAACGGAGAACTTTTTGATAAGCAGATGTTATTATCCTTTTTTTTTTTTTTTTTTCTTTTGAGCCCATGGGCCTGCTTGTGCTACGATGTTAGTATAAATTGGCTTGACTGTGGAGGAAAAGACGGGAAAGGGAAAAAACTGGGACTTGGGAAGTCTATATCTGGGTCGGAGTTCTTCCGCGTGTGAGCTTGGATGGCGTTCGAGCCCCTGAAGCTGGAGGTAGAGATAGGGATAGACATGGAGATGCGAGATATTATTGTTCTAAATAATAATGCATGAGGCAGTCGTTAGTTAATTTTTCCCCACAGGCCTGGAGAGTTCGCTGGCGAGTTCGTCGGGGGGAGAGCGGACATGCTGGTTGGATAGCTAGTTGAGGATATGTTTTATATTGGCGCAGAGGCGCAGACCCTGAATCAGAATAATGTAAATCGTAATTTTATCTAGCCACCCAGGTATTTGGGGATATGTGGTATGTACGTCTAAAATGCGAATATATGTACAGTTTTTCTTCAAGTTTTGTTCACGAACTAATCTCGCTTGGCCTCTTTCTTGGGTATCATCGGGCGGGAAAGTGGAAGGGAGGGGGAACAGAAGACAAGAAGGCAAAGTCGGCTATAGTATGCGTTTGTAGACAAGGAAGGGTTGTGTTAAAAGGGAGTTTGACGACAACGGAGTTCCCTGTCCCGATGGGGCAAGAGTTGGAGCATCGGCCGCTCGTTTTGACCATGGGCTTCCTCTCCACAGCAACCAGTCTTTCTAGCGGTGCCTGAGCTGTTGTGTTTTGCGGAAACTCTATCCCCCCTGGACCAAAACATTCCCCGGGGTTCCAGAGTGATGGGCTCCATAACTAGCAGCACGTCAATTATGGAGTAGTGGTTGTGTTAGCTGAAAAGGCGTGCTCGGTAACTAGCCTGAACCACGGTTCGTCTGCTACTAAGCAAGTGTATTTCGGGTTTCCTCATTCGGCTGACCGTTGAATGAGGATCTTCACCTGGGCCTTACTTATGCTTGTGCTATATGTAATACCGTTGAGGGAACAGCTGAATCAGGGGGGGAGACGGGGAGGGCGTATCCTTGAAAGTCCAGCGAATATTCTTTGCATGGTGAAACTGCTGGCTTTGGCGCGATATGACTGGGGGAAATAGGGCAGGACACCGGACTAGTAGCTGCAGACGGACCCACGATAGCAGGTTGGTTGCATGGAGTTAGTAACTAGTTAGTTGGGAAGCCGACTTGAATCCACCGCCAGGGGATCTCCCACTAATCGACGACCGAGTCGGCTCGGGGAGACTAGCAATCGTGACATTGAGGCGCAGCGTTAGAGCTTAAAAAGCTTAGCGGTATCGGAATGGATGGGCCTCTGTATTGAGCACGTACTCGTCAAGACTGACGACGTCTGGCTCAGAGAAGATAAGGTAGAAGTACTTGAGCGTTTCGGCAAACCAGAAGGACTCCATGCGGTCTGATTTGGTTGGTTTGGGGATGGTGCAGTCATCCAGCGCCGCGTGAGCGATATCGGTGACTGTGTGTTTGACGATGGTGTCGAACATCCTCCATGCTCTGTCGAGCAGGGAGGAGTCTCCTGTTAGGCGATAGAGGATGAATATGGATTCAATTGCCTCAGGCCTTGTGTAATACCAAGGTTAGTTATGTTAACTATATGTTGGAAAAGACTGCAAATATCTCGGAGCTTACCTGAGAATGTAACGCCTGTCTGGGATGCGGACAAACCCAGGCATTAATCCTTGCTCTGCAACATACTCATAAAAATCGGTACCTTCGGTGTAGTAGGTATCTTCAACGGCCTTTTTCCATATTTCTTCGTTCCAGGGACAGTCGTTGCGGTCCTGGCACCTGACTGTGACCATGATCTCAGGCATGATGCCCATGCTGCTCTTTTCGTAGGCCCAGAGACAACCCTCGACCAGCTTCCTTGCCGTGTCCATGTCATCGTTGCTTTGAAAGGCCTTGGCTGCCAGGCCAACCATCCCGCCCGCGAAGCAACTCAGATGCTGAGCGGTGGGCTCCGGGCGAAGTTCGGACAACGGTACCCTTTGACTGACCGTGACATCGCCGGGGAAGAGAATGTCTTCACCATGCTTTGTCATGGGGCGGAAGAAGATGTTTCGGTCCATGGCGGCAAAGGCACCCTTGTAGAGCTTCTTATATTGTTGTGAAGCCCCACCAAGCAGGATATATTGCTACTATTGTTAGCAACCTTGTATACCTTATATAATAAATATATAGGGCCGGCCGATCAAAAGATCTGCCATGTTAAAACGCACCTTTGGGAGATACTCGTACAGGGAATCAGCCATGCCGCCGATAGTGAATCGATTCGAGGAACGGAAATTCATGGCCTCGGCGTCAATCATGAACGGCCACATACCGGGAAGCTTGGTCTTGCTCTGCTGCTTTTCCATGGCGTTCATGATCCGCTGCACCGCGTCAAAGTACTTTGGATCACCAGTAAGCTGGGTAAGGCGGGTAAACTCCATGGTGAGAGAGCCAATCTCGGCAACGATCATCTGGTCGGCGGCCTTGGGCCTGGCGCCGGCAGCAGCCTTCTTGAAGTCCCAGTGGGCAATGGGCATGCGATTGGGCGTGTCGAAGGCCACGTAGAGCATCTGGCCTATCTCGACTGCCTTGCGCAGCAGAGAAGGGTACTTTTGCCCGCTTACGTCGTAGGCGCCCAGCAGGCCACCCAGGTAGCGGATGGTGGTCTCGAAGACATTGACTTCTTCCACGGTGCAGTTGTTGAAGTCAATGTCATCAATGGCCTTGACTGCTTCTGCGAACTCGTCGTACAGGCCCATTATCCATAGCGTATCTATCCCCGAGTTAGATATCAAGTCGGACATGTATGATAGTAATAATAAAAAGGGGGAGGGGAAGGGGGACCCATTTACCTAGCCCGTCGACCATGGAGGCCGCCCAACCGCCAAAGGGGTTCACTGCCAGGCCGGACAACGGCGCGACCTCGTCTGCCATCCATGCATGAGCCTTGTAGCCGTTCCATGCATGGGAAAAGTTGCCCTTGACAGCCTCGAGCCGGCTGAGCCGCAGACGGCGCGCATCCTCGTCCTCCTTGCCTGAGAAACGGTGCTGAATCAGCGGAATGCTGCTGGGATCGCCACGAGGCATCTTGATCATGGACCGGACTGCATATTTCTGGGGTACATGAGCCCAGGAGAAGGCCCCGTCGGCCGGCGTGGTGGTGCCTTGCGGCGGCGGCGGCCACGAAGCGCTGCTGGTGACGCCGCCGCTGCTGCTCGATGGCTGGCGGAAGTTTCTGACCAGGAAGAAGGCGACGGCCAGCGCGAGCAGCAGCACGACCGGCCTGCGTCTGACGTAGGGCATCGCCATCATGGTCTCTCCGGTTCTTCTGCGTCTCCTGGCCTTGCTCTGCTGGCGGTGTCTCTCGGTTCCTGACGATGCGCTGGGAAAGGCGCTGGATGTCGTTGGCGAGACGCCGGCCGCTGTTGATGGCGCGTTTGATGCATCTTTTTCTTACTAAACTAACCGCCCGGCTGTGGCGCCCTTTTAGATAACTAGACCCCTGGAAGACGGAGTAGACGAGGACGAAGAGGAGAGAATAGAAGAGAAGAGAAGAGACGAGACGAAGCAAAGAGCAAGGACGACGGGCATCCAACATCTAGGATTGTCCTGGGATTCGCTCGCGGGCTTCAAGGGCCCCTTGTAGACAGAGTAGCCAACATGGTTATATACAGTATATATATATGTGCCATCCAACCAGCCCCTTTCTCGGTGTCCTCTGATGGCTACGGCAGCTTCGGTGTATATAGCTAGCTGCCTAGGTCTACCGAGATGAGAGTGTACAGCGACTACTGTCGGACGCGCTGGCGGCTGCCAGAGACGAGCTACAGCAACGAGAGCGAGGCCACGCTGGACTACGGCGGATGGGAGGCAGAGTACGCCGGCCGCTGTCTCGCCAGCAGCAGCAGCAGCAATAATAGTCACTGTCTCTGGCTGGTGGCCGTCGACGAGCGCTACAGTGAGCTGCTCTCCGGTGAGTGCTTGCTATCTAATATACACAATCAATGGCCGGCTACGAGGTCGAGGTCGAGGTCGAGGTCGAGACTGCTAACCGACGGCCGTTGCTGCGCGTAACACACAGCTGGCATCGATATATCGCAGCGCGGACACAGCAGAGTGAACATCGAGATCCCCGAGCAGATCCTGAGCCGGACGAGGCGGTTCAGGTTCGATATCAAAGGCTGTGACGGCGATACGCACCATGGCTACGGACAGAGGGCCATCTCATCGGACGAGTTTCGTGTCTCGACGTCGACGCGGATAGCAGCTAGAGACGCAGAGGACGACCAGACGCTGACGGTAGGCAGCAAGACCGGCATCGGGATAGGCGTGGGACTCGCCGTTATTGCCCTCGCGTCTCTCGGGTTCCTTCGTCTCTACCGTCGACGGCGACGAAGAAGGGAGATCGACTCGTATCTCGCGGCATCGCGGCCAGAACAGCCAGAAGCAGCAACGTCAACAATGGCATCCCCAGAGACAATAGCAGAGATGCCGACGGATAACGAGACTGTGAAGCAGTCCGTATTCGAGATGGGAGGCCAGGGACAGCAGCTTGGAGAGCTCCAGGGCTCTCTGGCCGCCAGCGAGATGCCAGCCTCCTCCGCCCACCAACAGCCAGCAGCACCCGTCGAGCTCCCAGGCAGCATCCCCAGAACGACATAAGACATGAAATGAACCTCTAGCATTCTCTGGACTTTGCCCTATACGGAGTGCTCCTTACGGTGTTACTAGGAAATACGGCCCGAGACGAAGGCTGGAATAGCGTTTCGGGCTAGCTGAGCATATCAGGATGGGTTATACGGAGTCAATCGGGGCGTCACCAAATATGATAGCACCCTTTGGACGCAGTTTTATGTCCGCTTCTTAGTGAGGTTTCAGATGGTCGTTTTATCGCCGCTGAAGAACCAGGACACAGCCGCCTAACAGGGCTTTTTCTTTTTAGCAACCGCCTGCACGATATATACATCACTCACTCTCTCTCTCTGATTCAGCCGGAGCATCTCCAGGCCAGAGGAAGGAAAAAAAACAAAAAACAAGAAAAACAGAAAAAGAAAAGGAAGAAGAGCGCTGACCCTTGGGTGGGAAGAAGCTTGTCTGGTGGACTCCTCGCTGCCTTCTTAGTGAGTCTTGCGCTTCTCGAAGGGGTAGCTATATCCTCTCTCCAGTTCCTGTGTCTGCTGGCCCTCGCTGTCGTTGCTGTATATACAGAGTAATCTCTCTGGTGTCGTTTACTACACTGCAGGCTCCCCGTCCTCTTCCTCCCGCGCTTCGTACTGCTGCTGCTGCTGCTGCTGCTGCTTTCCCCGTATGCCCTGTAACTAACGCATCCTTGTAGAAAAGATCGAAACTTCGCATATCTTCTGCAATCACATGCAGCCAAGGCGGGCCCCGGAAAGCTGTGGCTAGACGAGAGAGACGCAGAGACAGGGCAAGCCAGACGAAAGGCCAAAGAAAAAAAAAAAAAAGGTTGTTGAAGAAGCAGCAGAAGAAGAAGAAACGAAAAGGCAAAAAAAAAGCAACGCCGTTGGTATAAGTATATTAGACTCAAAATGGGGGCATATATATAAGATGGACTTGCATCATCCCTGACGGGCCCTCCTCCCCATCCCACCCCCCTACGCACCGCGCAAAAAAGAAACGAGCAAAGTCTTCACGCCTGTCGAACTAAGAGTGGCCGCTGGATGCTAGCCACGTTTCCCGAACCCGCGTGTCGACGCCATCTCGGAGTTGCTGGACGTATTGGGGGACGGCGCTGTCGTAGAAGAAGCTCGCAAGGTCCCGTCCCATCCCATCGACCATCGACCATCGACCATCGACCATCAGCCCCATAACCAGGGCGAGCCCCCCGAGAACGAGAAGAAGCAAACCGCCAGGAGGGCACATCAGCCATTATTATTATATTTTATTATTAAATAACGACGACGGCGGCGACTACGACTCCTCTCTCGCGCAAGGGACGGCCGCAAAGGAAAAAAGGACGAAGGAAGAAGAAAAGAAACGAGAAGACGAAAGCCAAGCCAAATAGCGCTGCCTTAGTCAAAAAGGTTCCTCCTCTGGCGCTGCTGGCTTTCCTGCTCGTCCACAGGGAAGGCAAAAAAGTCGACCGCAGGGCAGAGCAGACTGCACAAGGACACCAGCCAGCGTTGGAGCGCCGGAAGCACACTGAGAAGCAGTTCTCCGTACGGAGCAGAGTCGAGAGACGCAGACGAAGCGACCCGGAAAAGAAACCGCACGGAAGACCATGGCGGCGTGGAAGCCTGCTGCTCCCCTTGCGCGATAATAATACATACTACTTACTAGTTGCTCTTCTCGCCAGAACGTCGTCTACAAATCTCTAACTTAACTAGTTGATATAAACTACACGCCCGCCTCGCACGACAACCAACCAAAAACATCCAACGCTTTCCCTCGCCCTACTATGCTCCAGGTGCCCCAGTGATCCAGCATGATGGCCTCGGGGCTCGATCTGACCTACTTGCAGCGGGACGACGGGGATGAGCCCGCAGCCTCCTCGATGGCCTCTGGCTCTGTGTCCGGCTCAGGCTTCAGGGCAAACACCAGCGACACCACGACGAATGACACTGGTTACAGCACCACCAGCCGCAACGATTTCGCGGGAGACAGCAGTACCGGGATCGGAGCCGAAGAAGAACAGCGCCAGCAGGACGTCTACCGTTCGCTGTACGACAACCCGGGCTCGTGCCTCATGGACGAGACGGGACACCAGCCACAGCATCTACAGCAGCATCTACAGCAGCAGCAGCAGCAGCAGCAGCAGCAGCATCAGCAACAGCAACAACAGAATGATCAGTTTATCGAACAACAAAATGATAATACAGAACAGGAGCGGCCGTGGACGGAGCTCAAGACCAAGGCGGGCAAGGAAAGAAAGCGGCTACCGCTCGCCTGCATTGTCTGCCGCAGAAAGAAGATCCGCTGCTCGGGAGAGAAACCGGCGTGCAAGCACTGCTATCGCTCGAGGATTCCGTGTGTATACAAGGTCACCACCAGAAAGGCGGCCCCGCGAACAGACTACATGGCCATGCTCGACAAGCGTCTCAAACGTATGGAGGAACGGGTCATGAAGGCCATCCCGAAAGATGAACAGCGCGACATGGTCGCCATCGGACGGGCGACCGTCAAGCCTCTGCCACCAGGGCACGCCTCCCGTCCGGCTCGGGCATCCCTCAAGAAGCGGACCGCGACGGAGGCCTTCAGCGCAGAGCTCAGCGAGTGGACGAAGCCGCTCACTTTAGCGATGCCAAACACTCAACCAGGGCAAGCGGAGCAGCAGGTTGGGCCTCCGGGAAAAGGGCAGGATATACGGACAGACATGCCCGCTCTGCATGTCAACACAGAGCACAAACTGCTCTCACAAGGAGTCGAGTTTTTACCTTCCATGGAGCTGCAGGAACACCTCGCAGAAGTGTTCTTCGACTGTGTTTACGGCCAGTCCTACCTCCTACTACATAAACCAAGCTTCATGCGCAAGCTCAAGGCCGATGCGGTTCCGCCAGTCCTTACGCTTGCCATTTGTGCTGTCGCCGCCCGCTTCTCTACGCATCCGCAAGTTAACAACACCGAACCAGCCTTCCTACGAGGCGAGTCCTGGGCCAACGCCGCTGCAGACATCGCCCTCGCTCGACACGATCAACCCAACATCACCATTCTCACCGTCTTTCTCATCCTTGGCCTTCACGAATTCGGCGCTTGTCATGGCGGTCGAAGCTGGTCGTTTGGCGGAATGGCCTTGCGCATGGCTTATGCCCTTCAGCTGCACAAGGAACTTGACCGTGACCCTCTAGGGCAAGGCGGGAGTGCTTCAGAGCTTAGTTGTACTGACAGAGAAATCCGACGACGTACCATGTGGGCATGTATCCTTATGGATCGCTACAATTCTTCCGGCAGCCAGAGACCACCCATCGGTAATGAGAAGTTTTTACAGATCCAGCTACCCATCAAAGAATCCCATTTTTGGCGTGAGATACCGGGCCCGACCGAAGATCTAGATGGGGCGGTACCCAATCCCGTACCTGAAGGTGTAGGACAGCTCTCGAACCCAAAGAACAACATGGGCATATCCGCATACATCATACGCGGTATCATGCTCTGGGGAAAGATCGTTGACTACCTTAATCTAGGTGGGAAGGCTAAAGACCCATACAGACTATGGGAGCCAGAATCTGGATACAGTCAGCTGAAACGATTGCTCAAGGACTTTTCCTCTTCCTTACCAGAGTGTCTTGTCTTTAACTGGGAAAACCTACAGAACTACGCTGTAGAGAAGATTGCAAACCAGTTCATTTTCCTGCATATTGTCATTCATCAGAATACTCTCTTTCTCAACCGATTCGCCATCCCGCTCTCCCCTCGAGGTCGTCCGCCCAGAGACATCCCCAAACAGTTCCTAAGCGAGGCCGGCAAAGCGGCAGTCGAAGCTGCGAGCCATATTTCCATGCTTATCGATCAGGCATCTGGTTATATGCTCACCGTTCCCTTCGCTGGCTACTGTGCTTATGCAGCGAGTACGGTGCACATCTGGGGAATATTCTCGAAGAACCCACAGCTAGAAGCTGCTTCCAAGGAGAACTTTAGGCACACATACAAATACCTAAACAAGATGAAGCGTTACTGGGGTATGTTTCACTACATGGTCGAGAGTTCCAAGGAGAGGTACAGACATTTCGCAGAAGCCTCTCTTTGCGGTCGTACGGTCCCTGAAAGCATGAAGGACGGTAACAACCAGGATGTGCCTATTTTCCAGTACGGAGATTGGTTTGACAAGTATCCGCATGGAGTATCGAAGCTGCGTTGGGAAGATCCGGACATAGACGTCAAAAAGGAGAGCGGTAGCGATGCCGTAATGTCCCAGCAGTCTGACCTCCAGAGTGTCGAAGAGTTCTTCACCAGCATGTCACCTACATCACCATCTGATGGGCCTAGAAAGGAAGCTAAACGTGCAGGCCCTACAACCCCATCAGAGAAGGCAAGGCCAAAGCTTGGATCAAGGGGTAATACTAAATCGCAATCTTCTAGCAATTCGGTACAATCCCGAATGGTAACGAATTTGTCCTCCCCAGAGCGACAGCAGCAGCCGCAGCAGCAGCAACAGCATCATCAGACACCCCGGTCACAGCCAATGCAACAACCGCCCTCCACACATCCCGTCAGTTCTCAGATTCCTGCACAGCAGGAGCCTATGCCAAATCATGTTACCAATAGCTATACAACTTACAACAACCCAAACATGTACCCTGCCGACCCTTCTTCCTACGTATCCGACTATAAATTCCACGCTCATCCTGATCCCCTACCGCAATTAGACCGACAACTTGTTTATGATGCCTATGCGGGTGTCGAAGCTATACCCCATCATCCTATTCCCATGCCATCATCCAATAATCCCACCATCCAATCACAGCACCCAGCCGGACCACAACCACAACCAGGACACGCCCCAGACCCCAACATTAGTAACTCTTATTGGAACAACGGCAACAATAACAATTACCAGTCCTACGACATGCAGCCGCCCATGAATTGGAATGGCGAACTAATACAGTCCAGCGCATGGTTCTTGCCTTTCAACCTTGACCCAACCGGCCTTGACGCCCACGCTTCCCAGCCAGGTGACCCAGCAGGCATACCAGCAGGACCTTCCCATTCGCCTCCAAATCCAGTCGTTTCCTCCGGCATGAGCATGAGTGAAAGCGACTATTACGGCTCTCCGACAATAATGCAACCGGTTGGCATGGGTCTAGGTATGGTTGAGGGTGTACCTGGTATGCCGGAAACTCTCCGGGAGAGAGTGGGCTGAATATAGTCGACTATTCCCGTCCTGTAAATGCATACATTCATGCGGTGTTACCTGTTCTACAGGTGAATATCACTTTTCTCCACCATACATAACTCCTTCCCTCCCTGCTGATACCATTTACTTACCATTATTATTGCAATTACTATGTTCACGTATATACACCACACCCTTCCCTTACGAAACCTCTCACGCCTCACAGGTTATTTCACCCCAGATTTTCGGCCAACCCCAGAGAAAAAGAAAATATCTCCGTATTGCTTGTTAAAGAACGACTTCCCCTACTCATGACATCTTTTTCTGTCTTTTCTTTTTGCTACATGTCGGATGAGGCTAGGCGATTTGGTATATACTCCAGGGCGGAAGGACAGGGACCTGCTTAAAACGGAACGGGAGTTGACATGTATTTATTGATTCTTCATTTTGCTGCTACTATACCCTTTCAACTTCACGTTTCATTTTACTCGCCTGCGGTTTTTTTTTTTTTTTTTTTTATCTCTGGTTGACTCATCAACGTTCCTTTTCACCTGCTCAAATACTCGGCGAACTCTGTCACACATAACTTGGCTCGACCCTCGGTTCGTCCGCGACTTGCGAACTAAGCCACAGGCTGTTCTTACTCAAAAATGGTCATGATAAAAGTGTACAAGCCATCATATATGAACCTATCGTGTGCTCTATTTCCTTTCATCCTCTTCGTACAAATGACAGCCTTGCGGCACACAGGCCAGCAAAGAAAAACAAAAACAAAAACAAAAACAAATACGTTATCCCACCTAATCATCCCATTCTTCATCAAGCTGATCGATCAGGCGGTTCTCCTCATCGACATCCCGTTGGCCCTGTCTGTGATTGCTGCCAGCAGCATTTCTACCTCTTCCACCAATGGCTCCTACCAGCCCATTCCTTCCACCTCCAACACTGCCGCCAGAAGACCCGTTAGCGAGCTGGGAATAAGCCGACCGAGACTTGCGGAAGCGAAAACAGTTCGCCATCGACGACCAAATGATTATAAACATATCCTAGTTCCATAACTGTTAACTTGCTTTCCATGCATTCTCTCAATAAATCACACAATAATAAAGAAGACAAATAAATAATTAGGAGCGTCGATAAGGTTTGGTGGAGTTGGTTTTCACTTTCGCAATTAAGGTTTAAGAATGTGGAGCTAAAATGCTTATTTTTTCCCCCTCTCGGGCCAAAGCGAAGCGAAGCGATGGGCAGAGAGAAGGAGGAAAAAACAAACAAAATATACGTAATGATGGTAAAAAAAAAAAAAGAGAAGACGAAGGAAAAGAGCGGATAATCCTGGCTTTGCTCGTCGGTAGACGGATATGCGGCATGTACTTGACATGGAAAATGTTGATGGGTTTAGAAGGCGTACCAGGAGGAGGTGGCAAAAGGTCGTTCCAATGAGCCCGCCATTGGAGGCTATCCAAAGTCGCTTGTTTGTAGGCCACAAGCTGAAGGATGCAGAATTGGCCACCACAAGGAGATGCAAGGAAAACAAAACACAGGCAAGCATATTCTATCCGCTAACATGCCTGGATGTCCCAATATATATATGGTATATGCAATCAGGGTTGAGGGTATATCCAGTACCAAAAACCAAGGAACCAAGAAATGTCTATAATAGGAACCAAAATGGAGCAAAACATATCAATCAAGGCGGGAAGTAGGTAGTGTGAGCGACGATCCCCGGCCACCATTATTTTGAAATCTCGACGTTTGGTGGTTACGCAAGAAGGGGAGCAATGAGAATATGGAGGTTATACATACCCCGACAAAACTGGCGGCACCACTCCACATCCCGTAGTTCGGACACTGCCTCCACCCTCGCTGGTGCATGACAGTTCGTTGATAGGCGCATCCACCAATAAGGTAGGCAGCTATGGCTATACCAGCACTAAAAGAGCAAAAGGGAGCATTGTCATCAGTTACTCACGCTCTGACCCATTCAGTTGGGATCGTAACCCGGAATGACCTACATGATTCCGAAAATACCAGCGGGACCAACGCCGCCGTCTGTACTTGCAGCAACGCCTCCACAGGCAGCTGCAGTTCTGACCTCGAAGAAATAGGAGCACGAATCGGGGCTACCGACGAATGAGAACGTAGCGGCCGGCGTAACGAGGTCTCGGTCGCAGAGAAAGGACATGAGAGTCGACTTCCTCCTTTCGACCTTGTCTTCAGGATCTTTCTTTTTGTCATCTCCCTTTTTCTTCTCGTCATCATCACCCTTTTTGCCCCCGTCCTTGTTGTCATTGTCCTCGTCGTCGTCGTCGTCGCCGTCTACGATTTTGCGTCTGAATAGTTTGTTTCCGCGGGATGGAGAAGGGCACGGTGAACCATCAGTATAGTTCAATACAAGTTTGCGTCCACGGAATAAGAGGGAAGATGATTGTTGCCTGTCAGGACGTTAGCATTGCAATTTTATTGCATGAGGCCTGCTTTTGCATCAAACACCCCAGGCTCAGTTTCAGATGGCTTACCCGATGGAATAAGTCTCCCCATCCATCTCGTAGTATGCGCTGATATTCTGCCATCTCTTCTCATCGACTCCAACGACATCCGTCAAGTTTTCTACCACAGGAGCGCAGATATTTATCGTAAAATTAGCTCCATAATCATGTCCCTTCACATGCCAGCTTTCATCCCTCTGATGGTCCGCATGAGACTTTTTTCCATCCTTCTTATCAAGCTGTACTGAAATCGCATTCAGATCGAAATAGAGTCCCGTATTAGGCGAGTGGATGGTGCATGGCTTCTCTGGCGCCTTCGGCTTCTCCTCCGCGGCGCCCCAGGCAACAGAGGACAGAAAGAGCACTTGTAATAACGAGTTCAGGCTATTGATATGCATGACAGGTCGTCGCGACAGAGCTCAATAGCTCAGGAGATGTCGACGCCGCGAGAGAACGTATTCGTGGTTGGAAGTCCGCGATCCTAGGCACCTGGATTCAATGGAAACGTGGTCTTTCGAAACTGGAGGCCAAGAAGAAAGCGCAGCCAAACCCCGCGCATATGATGATAGAAATGAGTATGAGCAGTGAGAACCGTTCAACGTTCATGGGTAGAATGATGAAGAAATTGCTGTAACAACTGCTTGCCATCGCCCGTCTCCGCTCCGATCTGGGGGACCTTCCATTATCAAGATGGATTATATAAGCAAGGTTAGTTATGTATTTTCTGGATCGACTTCCCCAAAAACTCCTTTTCTAGCCAGACTTGCAACCATCCAACATCCAACAACTAACAACCAACAGTTGACCCCCTTTTGATGATTACGACGCTCATTAAGGGGTATGGAATATATATTTGAGGACCTCTGTTTACGAATCAAGGACAGGATCGACTGAAAGTTTTCATTTTTGGTGGCTATATTATATTATTCGGATTTTCCTTTCTTATATCCCACCTATAGTGCCTGAAGAATTGATTTGCAATGGGGAAAGCGAATGGGTCAAATACTGCTTCAAAAGCGGCTCAAAAGCCTGCTGAAAAACATGGATATGAGTTCTGCGGCCCGTATGTTCCCCAGTCTTATCTTATTTAAAATAAGCTCACTTATTAACCTCTTTCTTTTTGGTCGGCTGCAGACCCGGTGCAACAGTTCTAGTACTCGGCTTACCTGTTCTTATCTATGTCTTTCCGTTCCTTTGCAATGATATCTCAGGATGTCCTGCGCCGTCCCTTCTAAGCCCGTCTTCATTGTCCCTAGAAAAACTCAAGGCTGAGGTTGGTTGGCCCGAGAATGGAATTAGAGGTTTTTACAGCACGGAAGCTACACTCTACGTTCTGGGATACTATCTTCTTAGTTTGGTTCTGCAAGTCTTTCTCCCAGGAAGGGAGCCTGAAGGAGTAGTTCTCGCGTGTGGAAGCCGTCACAAGTATAAATTCAATTGTATGATCTCCGCAACAACTCTCTCTGTGTGGCGCATTGGCTAACTTGCTCCCTATTAGCTTTCTCTTCCGCCCTCCTGATGCTGCTAGGCTGCGCTGTGGGAACCTGGATATATGGCGCTGAATTCCCGCTATGGACCTTCCTCTGGGAGAACCACCTTCAAGTGGTTACAGCCAACCTTATTATCTGTGTGTCACTGGCTGTGTTTGTTTACCTGAGGAGTTTCACGGTCCCTGCTCCAGGGCAACATAATCCTATGAACCGCGAGTTGGCTCCTGGAGGACAAAGCGGCAACATCATATACGATTATTTCATTGGGCGCGAGCTCAATCCAAGAATTATACTCCCCATTCCATTTGTTAGTGAAAACTCCAGGACCCTTGATATAAAGGCATTTTGTGAGATGCGCCCTGGACTCCTTGGATGGGTTATCATGAATCTTTCAAACATTGCACACCAATACAGAATAAATTCCGGCAACGTGACTTCATCAATACTTCTCATCACCGCTTTCCAGGCCTGGTATGTGTTTGATGCACTCTACATGGAACCAGCTATTCTTACAACCATCGACATTATTCTGGATGGGTTTGGTTTCATGCTGTCTTTCGGCGACTTGGTATGGGTTCCATTCATCTATTCTCTGCAAACAAGATACCTCGCTATGTACCCTCTTCAGTTGAGCCCCGTCAATGTTGCATTGATACTTGGTGCGCAGGGTGTTGGATACTCTATTTTCCGTGGGGCCAATAACCAGAAGAATAGATTCAGGACAAACCCTGAGGATCCACGAATCAAACATATCCAATACATCGAGACTCGCAGCGGATCAAGACTGATGACCTCTGGATGGTGGGGTATGGCTCGCCATATTAACTATCTCGGAGACTGGATCATGGCTTGGACTTACTGCCTCCCGACTGGTATGGCCGGGTTTGCTATGGTGGAATCTCTGAACCCTATTACAGGTATGATGGAGAAGCGTGCCGTTCAGACAGAAGAGTCGCGCGGGTGGGGAATGGTCATCACCTACTTCTACGTTGTTTACTTCGGAATCCTTCTCGTCCATAGAGAGCGACGTGATGAAGACAAATGCAAAAGAAAGTACGGTGAAGACTGGGCCAAGTATACCTCCAGGGTTAAGAGTAGAATCATTCCAGGAATCTACTAAACATGCCCACTTAATGAGACATAATTTTTTGTCGGAGCATTGGGGGCGCGTTGCACCTCTGAATATTGTTCATCTTGTTTTCAACATCGGCGTCGTGGGAGAAGCCGAATATGTATTCTAGTATAAATTTAGTGCTATTTAATTTGAAAGAGGTCATGATCCTGGTGTACGATCTATTGTCTCGCTTCCTCTTGAAGTCTACAGCTCTGAGGCTTTTCTTTGATCGGGGTATCGAGGACGGTGAGATCCCAGGCGTCGTCCCCACAGTTCCGTATCCAATTCTTGAGAACAAGCCGTACATCCCTCAATACCTGGGCCCGAGCTTCCAAGTACTCGCTCATGACTGTCTGTGACTTTAAAAAGTCATACGAGGGAGCCGAAAGGACAACTTGAGATAAAGATGAGGCTTCGTTATCATTGAGCTGTTGTGGCATCAAACCGCACTCGTTTAGAAGCTTGAAAATATCGCGCAGGAGAGCCCACATCCTGGCTCTAGATAATGCACTGGCCTTTTTAAACCCAGGCGAATTCAGTCGATAGCCCTGTTTGACTCCATTTATCAAAGTCTCATTGAGGTTTGTTGGCGGCGTTTTAAAGTACGCCTTGTACCAGTCTGGCTCCGAGAAAGTAGGGATATCATTCCACTTGGTTGTGAAAGGTGGCCGTGTTGAATTCGACGGAGGTGCAGTCCAAACTGCAGATACATTGCCAGTTTTCACTTTTTGTTCCGATGACTTGCAGGTAGGTTTTCCGTACTTCCACATGCTTTCGAAATCTTCCATTGGTAGTGGAGTTATCTTAAAAGGGCGAAATTTAAATTCTTCATTGGTTTTCTGCCCAACTTCCCATATCCGTCCGTTTAAGGGCCTCATTCGACCTGACTCCCCGCTACCAAATGACCTTTCACATCCTATACGGCTCAGTTCCTCCTCTGGCAGAACGATATTGGATATGTATGCATTTGGAGTTGGTGCAAGTAGCAGACTTGTCGGGAAGGAGAGAATAGATGCCACCTGTTTCAAGGCCAGTTTGTCTGAACATGACTTGCTAAGGGTCGACTCTGCGTCCGCGCGGGAAGGCTTTCGGCGCACCGCACCTAGTATGGAAAAATGGGCTCTGCCGTTTAGCAACACTTGCTGCTGGTCATCTGGGTTTCCCGCATTTCTTAATTCAGGAACAGGAGGTTCCCAAGGCGTAGCATCCTCCTGTGCAGCCATGCATAATTCCATACTAGCATCTCCGCAAGGTGCACAGGAGCAATACATCCATATCTTAACATCCTCCTTTATTCGAAAAGGAGGGCAGGGTATTGATGTCTGGGTATTGCTATCATCCAAATTCCATTGTAGAAATCCAGACCCAGAGCAATTCAGTAAATTGTTAGTTTTGTGGTTTGGTTCGTCAAGGGCTGTTAAGATAGATTTGCATTCTTCGAGTAGCCAGTGGTTAAAAGCACGAAGGGCAAGTATTTCGGCATGGCTGTCATGCAAGACAAGCCCGCTACATTGCGCAATTTGTGATGAAGATAGGCATTTTGCACCCGTTCTATGGGAAGTTGTTAGGCAATTATTTTACATATACTGGGAGATACTATCTCCAACATATGAAGGAAAGATGCAATTATATACTCACGCAACAGCAACACAAGTTAAAGCTTCCTCGGGTGTGTTCTCATCTAGAGAATCGATTAGTACACAATTAGACTATTAGTGGCATAACTAACGAAGAAGTTGGTTGTCAAGCAAATGAAATCATCAGCTTGTCACGTACTAGTTACCAAGACAATCCCACTTAGTGGAATCCATTCTCTCATGCCATTGCGATGGATAGTCGGTTTGCTGCGCTGTGGAAGTGCTTCAAAATGCGCATGGACCAGTGATGCAACACGGCTTTCAAGTGATGGATTATGACTCATGAATAGCTAATTTTCACGATGTAAAACCACAACCAGTTACGGGGTATTCACAATGCTATACTTGTCATATTTTTCTTTACATTAAATATTTCCTCACAGTTCCAGATCAAAGTCCTTGTGAGGCCTTAGTTAGAGTTTTATATCACGTGATCATTCCGTTCCACCGCCAAGCCCAACCAAAAAAAGGGCTGATGGTGGGTGCAGGCTCCCATTATTGAGGTCAGGTTCTAAACCATCGCAGCATGATTCTGGTCTGGTGGGAGTATCAGATCTGCATTTCAATGGAAGAGAAGAAGTAAATGTTCTTCGATAGATCTCTGGTCAGCCGCAAGCATGAGAGCCTGGAACTCATCATCTCGGCCAAGCGGCCCCAGGCGGACATCGTGGAGTTGAGCAGCCAGCATCCTCCAAGAACTAGCAGCGTGTGGCTTTCGACTAAGACGAGTGGATAATAGCAGCTCTTGCAGCGGCGAGTACATCTGGGGAACGAGCCATTTAGTTGGCTGGCTAACTGGTCAGTTACTGAAGGGATCAGCTGGTCATGCTAAAAGCATCACGGGAGTGTTACAAATATCGGCCCAAAACGGTAAGCTTGACGCCAGTCTACATGGGTTGCAGGTTCAGTCCGAAGTATATATAGCTACTGAAGACTCCCAAATTTATGGAGAACTGGAGGACTTGTGTTTTGCCTATTTTTGGCTCCCACAGGGCTGCTTCGTTTCGAAAGTGTCGGATACATGCTTGTTTCCTATCTGCTAGATAAACGATTTACCCGCAAAAGTGATTCTTCGAGTATTCCATCGGTCAGCCTCGATTTATCCTCACATAACAGTCAAGGTCTTGCTGTGTCCTGCGGAATCAAATGCGTCTAGACTTGTTGGCCGTTCTAAAACGGAGGAAGAAACCATCGTATAATCATGAAAGAAAACTAGGTTACAGAGATGACCAGGAAGTTTCCACAAGTAAGGTTAGCTGATACGTCTATCTCGCTCATGGAAACTAAATATCCTTCTCCGTATAGAATTTATCTTTGCAGAGCATTGCCTGCAAGGTAACGCTGTATACTTGAAGGTTGGAGTTGATACTGAAATACCCGCAAGAAACCTTCCACTGAAACTCCCCAACGGCCTATCATTGACGTATGGTGAAATACTCGGGCTGGTGGGCGATCTTTACGGGACAGATCAACCTATTAGTGATGGTGTTACCCAAAATGAGCAACATCATAGGTTTCTGAAAGCGTTCGATACACTGGCAAATGATACCAAATATGCTCCGGAAGAGGCCCCTAAACTTCTTGATATACTTCATGATGAAATGGAGGAAATCAAGAAGGCCATACAGGCTGGAAAGCCGGCATCGGAAGTCCATAATCGACTGAAAGTCGATTTAGGGAAAAGCCTTGGATTCGCAACTCTATTCCGACCCAGTGGGATACCATCCTTCTTAGGTCTTGCTTTGATCAACTTCGACCATTTTGGTACAGATTCAGAGACAGCGTATAATACTGGTCACAATGCTGCTATCCAATATGCTTTGCGTACGGACAGTGACCTGGCGGTGGCATATGCTATGAATGCCTTTGCAGACCATTTCCTACACGACCATTTTTCTTCCGGTCATCTACGTGTTCCCCGCCGTCAGCTTCATGGCAGTACTTTGAACTCTGCAGATGCTTGTTCTAAGGTAGGTAGACGCAGACACTTGATAACTCTAGCTGTACACGTGCTAATTACTTCCAGCTTATGCACGACGAAGATAGCTGCATCGGCTTGAAAGTCAGCAATCAGGATGGGGATTCATGGACCGCATATGGTGACTCACGATTGCTTGACGACGTGAGTAAACGGCACCGAGAAATATTCATAAAAGCCCAACAAGCATCAGTAGATGAGGTATTCCAGGCTTGGAGAGATAAAGTCGTACCACCAACGTTTAAGGCATGGAAATATGCGCCTACCATCGAATCCGCCTTGTCACCTCATCAGCCTCTTGCTCCGTTGTTCGTTATGTCTACAGGAGAAGACAAGAAACCAGTGCTGCTGAGAAGACGAAATGTCAGTGACAGGAAAACTAGAGACTATATATCAGACTGGACGTATACGGGAACTATCATAAAGTGCAGATGGAGTGGACGGTGGAACTACCCAATGACTCTCGAAGAATAGATTCATGTACCACTTGTCACTTACATCCCCTTTATTAATACATACGCTTGGTTGCTGTTCATATTACCAGCTTCATGTAGATCCATAGATAGACCACGATTTTCACGTGACCCCTTTGCGCCCGGGCCCCTGCGCAGGCCAACGTAAGCTAAACGGAAGCTTCAACCTCAGTGACATATCTCTTCAACTCTGCACATCAACAAAATTCTCCCAACCATACCACGCCAACCTGCTATTTCTGCCTTCGCTTTTCACCATGGCCGATAAGCTGCGTACCCTTCAAAATCTCGAGGCACTTCAGGCCCGCTACATTGGCACAGGACACGCTGATACAACCAAGTACGAATGGACATCCAACATTATCCGTGACAGCTACGCATCTTACATTGGACATCCACCGCTTCTCCAATACATGTCCATCGGCATGGGCGAATCAAAGGAAAAAGTTCGAGCCTCGATGGTTGAGAAGATAGTCCGAGGAGCAGGGAATCCGCCCGATGTGAGTTGCCATCCAGTCTCTACTTGGTGTTACCCGTTGAAAAGTCAAGAAAGTCAAGAAGCTAACATGGTCATGATGGCAATAGACAAGTGAATAATCAACTACAACTACCTTTTTGAACTTTTCGTCACGCGAGAATATGATACGGATCAAAGGAGGGGGTTGATGTTGGCGATAAATCGTTGCCCCGCGGGCTCGAGGAGTCAAAAATGCTGATACATGCCTCAACGGATCCCGTTGAACCTACGTGAGGGAATGCATGTGAAGCGGTGAAGCGAGACATTTGCCCACGAAGCATACTCTTATATTGACTTTCACCAGCTATGAACATGACAAGGGATACGAGATAAGATATTGAATCTTTGCCACGGTATCTGGCCTGCTTCGCTCAGTTTGAGCATATCTTGGGGATTAAAACGCCCTTAAAAGCCCAGTTTAGAGTTGACTTGCTTGGTCAGGATTATCCCTATTTTCAGCGCTTATGGTGTCGAGGAGGCATAATACCAGACAAGCCGTTCTCGTGCTCAGTGCTGGGCATATAACACATGTTGTCTACGAGTTCGAACCCAAATTTTTTAGACGAGTCAATACGAATTACAAGCGCGGACACCAGTTTGGACGATCCAAAAAAATTGAATTTAAATTTTTTTTTTTTGGGTTTTTATCTTTTACGTATTTTTGAAAGTATAGTAGCGAATTTGACGACAAGCGAATGGAAGACAGACGCAAGTAGTAGACGAAGCACAGCTCCGATGAAAAATGAAAGAGCAGAGAGCACAAAAAGTCAAAACCAGCATCCGATTCCTGGCTCCTGCTGCAGCTCCAGTCAATGGAGAGCATGCAAGAAACACAGGCCGCTCCAGGGACAAAAGTAACATGACCGAAATGAACAAGAAGTGAACAGCCAGCCTGGAGCAAAGGGGATGAGCCTAGTGAGACGGCCCCGGCGTTTCTGGCAAGCCAAAGATGCAGAAGCTGATGAAGAGAGAGCACGGCAGAGTCAACAAACACACTGCTAGTGAAGGGAGCAAAGGGTCGACGGTGGGAAACAATCGCAGATCGTTCGCAGCGGACACTCAGAGCTCCCGACGCGCACTCGTTAGCCACGAGGATGAGGCAGGCGAGGGCCCAGAAGTGGTGGACATATACCAGTCTTCCGTCCAAGAGCAAGCAGCATCCCGGCCCGTCCTAGAAAGGGGCCGGAGCCAGGAAAAACGACGGGGTAATGAATTTTCCATACCAGATGAGAAAGACTCCCACGTCAATGGGGCGCCGTGTGTCCTCATCCTCACCAATCCAACTGAATGGATCGCCTGTTCGGCAACCTGTACCGAAATGAGTTCCAGACAACGACACGGAAAGGGATGGTTGACTCCACTGGAAGGTTGATACCCGGGCGCAGGCTTCGTGGTCGGTCTAGCCGCCAATACTGCCTCTAGTGAGCGCTTGGGGTATATATACCAGTCCAGAAGAGACCACCACTTTTCCGCATCCACGACAAAAAAAAGGGGGGTAATAAATGAAAACATTTCCAGCCGCGAGGCATATCAGTCTTGATGATATCGTATGCGAGACATGAACAAAAGAAAAACAATCCTCCCTGGGATGTCATGAACAAAAATGAGGTAGCCGACCCGCCGGTTCTTCATGCAAAAAACAACAGAAAACATGAACGTGAAAATAAATCAAACACAAAAAATCAAACGCTTGCTAAAGAACGCATCATATAATAAAACCAGACATGAGGGAAAATGGAGAATGAAATGCCAGAGAATGCCACTGCCGCTTAATGAGGATTGGAGAACGCCGTCAGTCATGCGGTTGATGCTTATGGTGCTGGGTTCCTGTTGAGACGTAGGAATAGGTATGTTTGTAGTTTGAACTGTCACCGCCGGTACCGTGCTGTTCTTACTTGTTGGATATGGTAGCCCTTCTTTACATGGCTGTTCCGTACTGAAGGGCAAATTCAGGGTATCTATCAGCCCAGACGAAACCGTCCATGCCGGCAGCAGTACCACACTGATGCTGCACCAGCATGTCGGGCAGGAGGTAAGGGACAGCGGAGGCTAAGGTGGTCGGGCACTCGTAGAACTCTGACGTGGTGAAGGCGGCCGCCGAGAAGGGCTGGCAGTGTGAGGCGGGAGGCGAGGACAGAGACATGTCATTGTAGCCGATGTTGGGCCACATGTTCGGATGCGAGTCACTTGTCGTCGTGCTTGGGCTGGAAGGCAGAACATCCCAGGAGTCAACCGGGGAAGGCGATTGCTGGGTCGGGCTATGATGCCACCAATCATCAGGGCCAGTGGAAGAAGGAACTAATGGCGTAGAACGCACCACATCGACAATTCGTGGCGGAGGAGGGAGCAGAGGCACGAAGAGTCCCATGATGGCGGCTTTGGCTTCGTCTGCCAGACCACAGAGCAGCTCTCCGGCGCCTTCTTCCTCCATGCCTTCCAGTGCAGAGGCGCTTGTCCGGTATACAAACCGGTTGACAGCCTGGACGAATTCCTCCTGAAGCTTCTTGAGCTGGATCTCCTTCTCGGGCCAGTCCCATGTCTTGCTTGCAGTGTCGACAGAGTAGATTTCCTTATGATGGTCGATGAGGGTCTCGATAGTCTCTGGGGTCAGCTTAAATGCGACTTCGTTCTGCGAGACCATATCGACATGCACGACGTAGGCCTCCATGTGAGCGAGCTGGTAGTTGAAGAGAGCATCCACGAGCGGGTTCTCATCCTTGGGTAACTTGGACTCGGGAGCCTTGGGCAACATGATCGAACATAAATTCCAGATGGCGTTCTGGTGGGAGAGGATCTCTGTTAGGCATCTGGTATGCTGCCCGACGTTGTTCAGCGGTCTCTTCACTTTGTTCACTCGCTTTAGGGTGACGGTCATCCACTGTTCCACTCTTGATAGCACCACGGTAGGCGACGCCCTGGGGGCAAAGGCGGCAGCAGAGGCTGGTAGAAGGCTGGTCGGCGGCATCTTTGGATTATCTTGATCGCATTAAAGCCGTTTCCCTTTCCTTTGCATATATACTCAGTTGCTGGATCTAGGTTTTTATATATGATGGTTCTGTTGTATAGCAGCAGGTCGAGGGCAAAAAAAAAAAGAAAAGAAAGGCAAAAAAAAGAAAGAATAAAATATATAATAAAAAATATAGAAGATGAAGACGTTAAATATATTTGGAAGAAGAAGAAAAAGGTCAGAAGGGAGGTCGACGTGGGAGGGAGAGCAAAGGACGTTGGCACCTCTTCTTCTGTACGGGCAGAAGTAGATATAAAAGAAGCGGAAGGGGAAGGGGAAAGAAGGCTGAGGGGACGGCGGGCAGCAAGAGTGTATATGTATAAGATAGACGAACGTCCACCCACAACCCGCCGCGAACGAACAAGGCCAGGCCCGGTCAGGAAGAGTAAGAAAGGAAAAACCTTGGATGCTCTGTGGATGGATGCTTGTATCTCGTAGATACGAGCTGAGTTGCAAAAGCTTCCTCCTGCATATGTACGTTTAGGTTCTACCAG